TGCAACTAAACTGGTAGAAGTGGACATATCCATTACTCCGCACATCAGCTCCTCCAGCCCTCTATAAAGGCCACATGGAGGGTTGGGGATGAAAAGGTTTAACTGCAATGTGGGGGTATGCCCACGCCTAACAAGTCAAAGAAGATACTTGCAGTGCATGAGGATGCTCAGAAATCAGTGGCCCTAGATCCAACCTCAAGTTTTGAAGTATGAAAGTTACATTTGCACCATTCAAAAGCTGTGTTTTTTACTTTGAAAGGCTGGGAGTGGGGACATTCAGTACAGAGCCTTCCTTATTTTTTTAAGACTTCCGTTCCCAATCTTACCTATTAACTGCTTAGCACTCTCTTCTATCACATTTCCTAAGCTGTTCTTGCATCTGATTTATATTATACAAAGTAATTTCCTTTTGCTTATGTGTTTTTTCTTTACAAGCATGCCTTTCATATAATGATAGAGGTAAGATGCATTGTTTATTTTAGTATTGGGATGCATATAAAAACTTCATGTATTTTTATATTATATATATATATATATGGATTTGTGGAGTTATAGACAATATACATATATTTGGGCTAACACTTTTATTTATTTATTTATTTATTAACACTTGGATCAAACATTTATAAATACTTGGATAGTTATAAACAATTAAACCAAAAAGCTACATACTGGTTATCCAATGTGCTGGTGGTTTTCTTTTTTGCCAAAACATCTGCAAACTGTTTATCATTTCATTGCTTTAAACCTCTTGACTAAGTCCTGTGGTGTCACTAGTTGAGAAACTTAAGGAGTATCCAATATTGTGCCAAGGACAATTTCTCAGGATTGAAATTTACTCTCTTAGACTTCACAGTCATATTTTGTATTGTCATAAATATGGAGGTTCACAACCTTCATGGGTGTCTTGTCAAAGTGAAGACCTATAAGAGAAATATCCTGTATTTTTAATGAAATATTGCCATCACATAAATACAGTCTTTTTAAATCATAAAGTTGGAAGGTACTTATTTCACTTTCTTCATGTTTCAGTAAAATCAATATCATAATTCAGAATAGTAAATAGAATTTACAAGCATTTCTATAGTACCAATGACTGGTATCCAGAGAACTATTATTAGTATGTCTAAGAGCTTGTTCATGTCCTGTGGAATTGCTGGCTTCTTTTCTTTGCACAACAGACTCTCATACCCTGTCCCTATCCGCTTTAAGAAACCTCATGTTCTAAAGTGACTTGATACGTGGTAATGTGGGACGTTTGGGGGAAATGTAGATGTGATGACCTACTGGGTATATAAAACTAGTCAAACAGTCCTTTGAATCTTAGGTATTATTTTATGTAATACTTCCCTTTTGGTTTATTAAATAAATTGTTCCCAAGTGTATTTGACATATGTAGCAATCATTTTGGATTTAGCTTGGATTCAGTTTGTTTATACAACATTGTATTTTTCTACTTTTTCCCCTGAAATGTATCTAAAGATAAAAAGTTATTTTCTGTAATGTTTTTTCTATAATAAAATATGCAGAATATTTCACAATTCATAAATCCATTCATAATTCTCACTGGCATATTAGTACATGTGTTTACAGTGAGGATCTTCTAATTAGCTGTTATAACTAGTACTATTTGCCAAATGTTCTTTTATCCTATAAGTGGGAACAGCTCATAAACAGTCCAGAAGATTCATTTCCCAGACAATGTAAAAATTGTAGTAGTATTTTTAAATATAACCTAGTTTTTCATAATACTACTACTGTATTAAGGAAATGTGTTTGTACTTGTTTTTTTGGTTTATTTAGATAAGTTTTAAAACAGTCCTGTAATAGTCCCACAATTCAGAGGTTTCATTTTGGTATTCTTTTAACATAATAGTTATTGGTGATAGGTGAAATACAGTAATTTGTTAAAGTGACATCAGATATTCAGCTGTTAACACCTGATGTATTATTTGAAACAAAAATGGTTTAGAAGTTGGAGAGAAGGTATACAAGGGCTAAATCTAAAGTACTCCTGCAGCTCTAGCTGTGGAGGTTTTCCAACCCTTTGTAGCAGATATGGGGGGCATGCAGAAGGGAGTGGAGAATTGAATACACCAGCAGTGTCAGTTCCATGGGTGGGGATGTGTATTTACATGTTCAGCATTCTAACACACTTGCATTTAGGATCATTGTTTGATATAGTGCACTTCTCAGAGTAACAAAAAAGATTTAAAAAAAAAAAGTCAGGTCTCTTGCCCTGATGAGCTTCTTTAAACATTGAGAGTCAGAAAGAGAAAAGATAGAAGGGGAGAGGTAAATATAATGAGATGAATGTTCCAAAAGACAGCTACATGTACTTCAGCTTCATTTTAGCTGTAGGTAAAATACTATGGGTAAACCAAGAAAATCTTTTAAATGCTACTCTCCTGATAAACTTTATCTATTGTATCTTCATGATGATCATTATCATATTCCCATTTAAAGACCAATTTGCTGAAACAGGTTTGGAGAAGCTCTTTCAGTCCAAGGGCCAAATTTAACTTTTGAGAAGCTCTCAGAAGCTACATTCCAGTGGAGGGAGACCAAAAATGCCAGCATTTTTATTTTAAAGGTATTAATGTCTCTAAGCCTTAGTTTAAGCATTTCAATCTCTTATAATAAGAAGAAAAACTGCACAACAGCTGGGAAGCCACCAAATGACCAGTGGATTGGAGAATAGGGATATGCAAGGAATCCATATTGTGTAGAAAATCCACCAGTTTTCCTTATTTTGGCTTCCCAGAATCCAGACTGCTTTTGTAGCAGTCCAGAATCCAGACTCTTGACAAATGCACCATTCTTCCATGACCATTGCTGTAGCCAGTGGCAGCCATCAGGGAAGGGTGACTCCAGGAAATTATGGCCAGCACACCTGCTCACTGTACCTCTTTTCTGCATTTGCTAGTGATGACTACAATTCACAGAGAAGAAGATGAGCCATCAGGAATTGTGGTTGGGGCAAGTTGCCAGTTGCATAACTGGGGCAGATGTCCAAGAGTGTCCATGGACTTCCTCTGACTTAGTTTGCTTTACAGGACCAGACCAAGCATGAGAGGAAGTCTATGGATTCTGGAGGAATGGATTCTGAACGGGCACATCCTAACCCTGCTGTGGAACCTAGGTTTTGCAGTCCTGAGTTCCCAGCCCTGATCTGAAAGTTCTGTGGATTACACTTTTGTATTTGTCTTGAATGTATATAATTAAGAAGAATATTAAGCTGTTTAAGAGATTACTTTCAGCTCATGTATTTATCACAGTGGGTTTAGGAGAATATTTTCTATAGGTGGTTGAGTGCTGGTTTCATGAGCACATTGAGCACTTAATATTTCTACTTGCAAAATGAATTTGAAGGATTTGTGAAAAGTTGTCATTGGGTCCATAGATTTAACTGAAAAAAGGACTGATAAATAAACCTTTACCTTTCCATAAAATAATCTAGCAACCAACAGAGAAATAATCCAAAATAGAAGTTTATACTTTCTTTATAGTAAAATCCTTCTGAAAAATATAGCCTGTAGTTGTCCTAACTAGTTTATTGTTGAAATGACTGTGAAATTATTAATTTAGACTTCATAGTTCTCCTTTAAGCACATGAAGGAATACTAGCATGCTTGAGGAGAGTGAGTGTCATGTTTGCATCATGAAAAAGATAAGTTTGCATAACCATAGCACAGTACGAATGGATGGATCATTTGCCTTTGCCTTGTCAAAACCTCCAGGTACAGGAACAGGGAATAAGAAGGCACGAGCAGGAGAGACAGGAGCTCTAGGGGAATAGGAATGCACTAAAATGATTTTCTTGAGCTTTATAGAAGAACAATAGTTTTTCTATGAAGAAAGGTCAAAGAAAGGCAAAAAATAAGCATGGCTAAAAAGTCACTTAAAGACAGAGAAAGAAACGGTACTGACTTTCTTCAGTCAAAGTGAGAAAAAAGAAAATTTTAATTACCTTATTTCCTTTGGTTGAGCCCCTTGCACAGAAACGGGAAAAATAGATTCAGCATTTATGTTGTATACATATTTAAAGTGTGTAACAAATAGCTCCAGGTAACCCTTTCCAGCATGGAATAGTTTGGTTGCTTGTATTTTGCCAGGAGATATGAAGACTTGTACCACATGATACTGATGGGTGGTTAAATATGATGTAAACAGATAACCTGTATGCATATGCTGTTGAGGCAGTATCTGTGTAAACGTGTTCTCCTGTAGGAAGAAATTCTGCCCATATGGTAAAATGTATAAGTGAGGAAGACATGGCAAGATTTTACAGTATTAGATTAAATGGTATTCTGTATTTGCCTAGAAAGGGTTTGGAAGTAATACCACTACCATTCAGCCCTATAATTGCCCCAGTAAGAGGCATATATTCACTGTTACAGAACCTTACACAAAATCTACAGAGCTAATGGAGATGATCACCTTCATTTTAACAGTGCTTTTCTTGAATTGCCACCTGGACAAGAAACTAAGACATACTTAGTGTCTGAGTTTTAGCAGCTTAATACAATGCTTTTGTTCATTTTTGTGGTATTGCAGGGGACTCTGCACAAATGAATATATGTTATAGAGTGTTGCAGTCCTTCAGTACTTAACCTGCTTTTCAAATAAATCATTAGTGGAAATGAAAGACATGCAGGCACAATTCAGAGAAATCCTACTGTACATTTAAATGTAAGCTTACATTGCCTTCATCTCAGTGGGACATGCATACCAAACTTTCTCTCTGTACATCTGTAGGCACTATTGTTTGCTGGAATCTTACACTCAGACAATTGCTGAAGTTCATTCTACATTTGTGAACAAAAATTTCAATGTCTTAATACCTTCTCAGTGTCATTTATTTCAAATTCCCATTTGTCTTATGCTAGCAAGCTTTATTGGCAGAGCATGGCCCCCAAAGGTGTGTTTTCTCCTTCTTTATACTATCTTATTGTAGTATGGCCAAAAAATGGAGCTTAACTGATTTTGTCTGTTTCTAGGATCCTGGACCGCCACCTCCTTCACCACTGATGGGTCTAAAACCTCTGCAGTTACTTGAGATCAAAGCTAGGGGAAGATTTGGCTGTGTCTGGAAAGCTCAGTTATTAAATGAATATGTAGCTGTGAAAATATTCCCAATCCAGGTATATAAACATCCTTAAGTCCTATAATGCTGTTAAATTTAAGTTCATAAAGAATTGTTACAGATACAAACTACAAAACATTGAATCCTACTTTTCAAGATGTTACAAGTAGGGACATGCAGTGTTGTGCTTTTTCTCTCAAGTTCAGTATTCCTAAATGTATATGCATCTTTTCTCTTTTAAGAGAAAAAGCACAACACTTTTCCTCTCTTTTCCTTTTCTTTCTTTCTCTCTCCATAGGTAGAGTGGCACACAACCAGCTGTGTGGTACAGGTTGTTCATAGAACGACTTACAGTACACCAAACAGATGATCGGGATTGTTGTGTTCTCCCCCTCAGTCTTCCAGCTTGCTCCAACACCTAACCCAAGCAATATCATGGCAGAACCCATATCTCACTTAGGTCCCTTCCATGCGCCAACCATTCCCCCCTGTGGGTTTCTGGGCATTTTTTCCTGAAGCCTCAAAAATGTGCATTCACTGTCTTTATTATTTTGTCAGTCATTTGCAGGTATAGACTTAAGGCTGTCCAGTATGTGTAGTTATGCATGGTCTCTTGCCTCTTTCAGTAGTTGAAGGGAGCACCAAAGTGGAATAACTTATAAGGAAACGAGTCTGTCTGTCAACTTGTGCACATTTGCAAAGAGCTAAAGAAGAATGAAGAGATATTAATTCCCCCTTTTCTCAGCTCCTTCTCAAAATTGTAACTTCAATAGTTAAAAAGCAGGGGATTACATTGTTAAGGAGATTATATTGTTTCTCCCCTCCACAGTTTCAGTGCTCTTACTCCTTTGGGTTCCCTTCCCCCCTCCCCACCCGTTTTCTGTGCTTCTGACTCGTGCTAATGGATCCCTCTTGTTTTACTATAGTTTCTGCCCTGGATCTGGTCAACTGAGTAAAAAATAAGCAGATAGGTTTTTTGTCAGTTGTCCTCTATGTTACCTCCTCAAATTCATCAGTTCCTTTGACAGCTGAAACGGACAAGGAAATTGACTAGAAAAGACTGCACATACTGGACAGCCACAAGTGTGCAATTACAGATTTGCAAAAGACTGACACAAATTATAATTAAAAGACAGTTTGACCCTAGCTGTGCTTTTTTGAGGCACCGGGGGAAAAAGCTGGGGAATAAATCATGGTCCTTTCAAAGTGCCATTTTGTTACTGGTGGAAGGGTGGTCACTGATAAGATTGCAAAAGGCAAATGACATAGTTCTGTAGCTGGTCTTAGCTATGTACAGTATAAATGGTCTCCTGGTTTTCAGACAGTGTGAAGCCTGTCAATTTTGAGTAACCCCTAGAGCAAGCCATGAATTTTTCTTTCTGAAAAATAAGCCACTCTGCAGTAACTTATCTGGAGTTGCATGATATGACAATGCATTGTGGCTAGCTGGCCATGATGAGGTGCCATGTTAGGTGAACCAGGTCTTTCTATATGTACTACTACACCCCTACTTCTTTCAAAATTTCTTCTACATTTTTGGCAGACAGCTGTGTGGCATTCCAGCTAACCCCCATCTTCATTTCCTAAGTGTGTTTTTGGGGAAAATTTGGGGAAATAAAAATGATGGTTGGTTCTTAGCTGATGTTTGGCCATGTAGCATGCCTAAGATGGGCCTTGTCATTGAGAAAGGTGTCTACATGTACTGGGATATGGAAGAACAACCTAAAAATGCTGGTTTAAACAGCCATTTGACACACTTCTAAGATTGTAGGATGCATGACCCTCTTCAGTTGTATTATGAAACAGTTTCCTATCATGAGAATAATCTCATGATAGGAGAGTGTTAAAACAATCTCATATGTTTCGTCCTCACCCTTCCCTCTGTGAGGGAACTTTAAAGTTTCTGTTTGTGATTCTGAACAAACTGCCTGTTCTAGTTATGCATGTATACTTCAGGTTCTTTTTGGAAACAACCACTGCTTATAACAAACCAAGATAAACACTGGCTTCAAATCTTGGTTTCTTAATTAACTGGTTTAAATGAGTAATTTCCCCATGTTTGTTTTTTGCTCAAGGAAGTCAGCTTATTCTCTTTACATATGAAAAATGGGAGAAGACCCAAGTTTCAGCATACTTTTGTAGTGTGAAATGGAAACCATTCCTTTAAAAATTCTTACTCTGCTTTTCTGAAATATATTAAAGATAGTCTATGATAATTTCCAACATAAAACACCAATAAAATAATTGAAAACAGTCTATAATTTGTCAACCAAAAGCAGTAAAAACAGTGGGTTTAGCTTTCAAGTATAAATTAAGTAAGCTGCTGTATGTGATACTTTGAATTGTTAAAAGTCTAATAGTATAGCTCAGACTCTGATGGAAAATTCATATGGATCTTGGCAGCACGTAATTGTAATGTTGTGAGTTTGAGATCTTTTTAATATGCCAGAATTAGTGGTATCCTCTGAGATGTTGATAGAAGTTTGGCTTCCTTTTAGTAACAAATTAGAATGGGCCCAGAGAGTTTGTGGAAATAAAGAGGGCAGGTAGGTGAAGCTTTGTCTTTGCTTATTATGAAAGTACAGAAGATATTTTAATATATTTGCATGTTTCCCTTTCTAGGACAAACAGTCATGGCAAAACGAATATGAAATATACAGCTTGCCTGGAATGAAGCATGAAAACCTATTACAATTTATCGGTGCTGAGAAACGAGGCACAAACATTGATGTTGATTTGTGGCTAATAACAGCTTTTCATGAAAAGGTGTTTGGCTGGTTACTTTTTAAAGTTATACCATTTTCATAACTGCAGTCACCCCTTTCTGCCTTTAATAACCTTGATGTTACTTTTAGTCCTGCTTTAGATATCAGAGGTGTGGGAAACCTGCTTCTGTTTCCATTGTGTTTTCCCGAGCACACCCGCGATTGCCCCTGTGTCCCCCCAGCACGCCCACGATCGTGCCCGACTTTCCTGTGATTAAAAAAAAATATTTACAGAACAGATTAACCTTATTTACGTTGAACCTTATGGGGAAATTTGACTTGGCTCATGAGCAATTTGTGTCACAACCAGAGTAGAGGAACATATTAAGTTCGTGAGCCAAGGTGCCACTGTACTGTCCTTCAAGTGCATGTGTGGCACTATCTTGACATTGAAGGTAGAAAACAAGAAGTCTATGCCAAGAACTCTGTGCCAACTAGAAGATCTGTATGCACATTGCAGAGATCTGAATTTAGGATAATACTGCTGGAAACTAGATTTTTTTTTAAAGTGTCTGAAGTTAATTTAGGAAGGGAAAGGATGTAGAACACATTTTAATGGAAAGGTGTAATTTTTATACTTATTCAGGGTTCACTTACTGACTTCCTGAAGGCTAATGTAGTATCATGGAATGAACTATGTCACATTGCGGAAACTATGGCTCGAGGTTTGGCTTATCTTCATGAAGACATCCCTGGTCTAAAAGATGGGCATAAGCCAGCTATATCCCATAGGTATGATATTTCCACTCATTACCTGGGTTGTCATTACATTTTAAATTTAGAGGGAATATATTTTTATAAATACTAAAAAGTTAGAATAATTGTAATATCTTTTGTAATAGTATAACTACAAAAAACATAGGATTGGAATCAGAGTTGTGAGCTTTCATTGATGGAGAGAACCTGTGTCCTGTGGAGGCCCCCTGCTGCAGGAATGGGGCATGGAGGTAATCATCACTAATTCCTCCACTCTCCTGCAGATGCCAGTGCCATGTCCTACAGAGGTTTCTTCAGTTCTCCAGAGCAGTTTTTTAGGAAGCTGCAAGAGAGGGGGGGAATCAGTAACAGTTACCTCAGCTGAATGCAGAATCAAAAGTCAGCTGAATGCAAGTCTGGATTCCTTCCAAAGTTTAGAATTATGGAAAACAACAGCGTGCAATGTACTACCGTGTTTCCCTGAAAATAAGACTGAGTCTTATATTAATTTTTGCTCCAAAAGACGCACTAGGGCTTATTTTCAGTTGATGTCTTATTTTTTCATGTATAACAATCTACAGTTTATTCATTTATTCATGTACAAAAATCTACATTTATTCATGTATGAAAATCTACATTTATTCAAATACAGTCATGTTGTCATTTTCTGGAACATTGTCATAACTCTCCAAACCCCAAATTGTGTTGCAACAGACATACTAAATGTGTCCATTTGGCTGATGATCTTAACTGGGGCTTATTTTTGAGGTAGGGCTTATATTATGAGCATCCTGAAAAATCATGCTAGGGCTTATTTTCTGGTTAGGTCTTATTTTCAGGGAAACAGGGTACATTTAATTCTGAACATGCCAATTACTATATGGCAGTTAAACAGTTTTCAATATAAAGCAATGGAGTGGTACATTAGAAGGCAGTATTAATCGTAGGATTGGTATCGTAAGTCATAAAGTGGCAAGAAAGTTTGTTCTCTAATTATATGTATTCATAGTTTTCTGCTGAAGATAATTCCCCATTCTTTCCATACAAATTCAAGTGCCTTCACACTTCAGTTTAGGACTAGGCCTTGGGAGAAAGGAGGCAAAGCAGTTGTTCAGCTGAATTAGTGTGCAGAGAAAATTAAAGACCTATAATCATCTTCCCAGGATTAAACATTTCTTTAAATAGGCAGAAAGTCTGGGGCTCCTATCCTTCCTTATGCTATCACTAGAAAGGGACTAACTCTCCCAGTTTCCAGAACCAGATTTCTGCAGCTTACTAAAGAAAACTAGTACAAAGTGCAGTTTTGTGTCATTGTTGCTCTCCTGCTCTGTCTACGGAAAGCATTTACCAGTGGCTTTCCATGACCTTCAGGAGTGCTTCAGACTATTCCATTCAGGTGAATTAAACTGTAGGAATGGTTCTATAAATTTACTTGCTATGAGAGGCCTTTTCAGCAAAATTATTGCCTGTAGGGAATAACCTTCTGAATACTGGGCTTTTGTATAGAGTACCAGCAGCACCTTGATTCTGCCTCATACAGGAGTCAACCTTTGGGCATCTTAGGCCATTGGTAGCAGTGAGGTGCTGCTGGTACCTTGTGCAAAAACCTAAATTACAGAAAGAAACACTTTCCCACCACCTTAATCTTCACTGACAAATGAAGGGAGCAGTTTGTTATACCTTGCACTGGGATTTTGTAAGAGACACTAGCAGAGTTGCACTTACACCTTCTGAAAAACTTGCCATGAAGCAAATATCATTCCTCCATTTCATGAGCTTTCTGATTTATGGGAAGGGACAGTAGTAATCCCAACTAATGGTTCTGTCTAGTCAGCAAGCTAAAAGTTGTCAACTTTGACAATAGTGAAATGACTAAATCCAAGTTGAGCCTTAAACATGCCCATACATTCTCTTCTATAAGACTTTCTAACCTTGCTTCTTGATCTGTTCAAGGGACATCAAAAGCAAGAACGTGTTACTGAAAAATAATCTTACAGCTTGTATTGCTGATTTTGGCCTTGCTTTAAAATTTGAAGCTGGGAAGTCAGCAGGTGATACCCATGGTCAGGTAAGTAAAGAATTATGATATTTTTCTATTTAAATTGCCAACTTCTTTTCATTCATTCATTCATTCATTCACGCACGCACGCACGCACACTCACACACACACACACACGCACGTATGTGCTACCGTATCGGGGATTTATTTCTAAAAAAGTTGGCTGTAAAATTCAGAATATCAAAGCTGTTCTAGTATGTTGTCTTTTGATAAAGACACATTATTTAACTGTAACTAGGTATTTGAGTATTCAGCTATGCAGTGGGGAAGGAAGACAGTTGTATGAATATACATATTACCACTTGGAGACCTTTAGGTAAGTAACCTGTCTTCATGGCTTCTGCACAGCTCCTTATATGCAAGAGCAGCAAGGTGATCACCAGAGGGTTCTGGAGCAGATTATAGGCATAAGCAAATGCTTTGCTCTCTGCAGTGGGATAAAATTGTACAGCTCTGTGAGGATAAGAGTAGAAAAAATGCAAGTAACTCAAGTGTTGGAGTAAGTCAAACCAGAAACACAGTGGTTTAACAAGGGACATGGCCTGCATGGTGGCCATGAAAGAAGTGAGTCTTGAGGGAAGGCTAAACATACCCAATATGATTGCAGAAAGGCCAAAGAAGAGACTTTTCATAAATCAAAGCAGAGACACATGACAGCAGAACAGGATGTACATAGTGGAAATGTGATTCTTAAAGACAAGCAAACTAGTCGCCAAGCTAACCAGTAGGTGAGAGAGTGTACATAAATGTAATTGTTCTGCCCTGAGAGTAAGCATAGTTAACAATCAGAAACAGGTGGCACAAAATTGTAAGTGTGTAAACAAAGCTGTGTAAACAAAGCAAGAGTGGAAGATGATCTATATTACAGACTCTATAGTGTTGCAGAAGGATATGGGGACTTCTTCAATCCCAGTGTCTGCCTCCTTAGTTCAGAGCTTGTAGTGTTGAGCAGAAAAGCTTGAACGGGATTTTATTTATGTCTTGCTGAATGTAATTAGATCTCTACAGTGAATGGGCAAAGTCTGAGCTGTGGTAGTTGGAGCCAGATTTACTCAGAGGTAGCAAATTGGACCTGTATGTGTGTTAGCCTAATCTGTTCAGAGGAGGGTGTGTGTGTATAGATGAGAGTGTGCGCACGCACGCATGTGCATGAAATGTCATGGGTGATTCCAGGTATGGTTCAGTATGTAGTGTAGAGTCAACATAGTGGACAGTTGCTCCATGGTGATATTCATATCGTCAAAAACTAGAGGTGCATGTCCTGTCATAAGGTATAGGTATGAAATTTGTCCTTATAAAGGAACAGTATTATTATAGGATAAAATCCATCAGATATAGCTAAGCAAGACTTGCAACAAACCAGTGCTACATGATGCTGTGAGCAAGAGCTGGGCATATCTCTGCAGAACGTTACAAAAGAAGATAATGGAAGTTCAGGAAGACAGCTACAGTTAAATTCCCTGATTTGGCTTCCACTCTATTGGCAAAGCTTATAGTATGGACAGGCAGGTAGGTCGGTAGGTGCATCTACCAAAAAGGGCATATGCCAAAAAGAAAGCTAGGCAGGTACATCCTGTGTGTAAGCTAAGCCATCTACTAAAGCTAGCAGAAATATAAGCTGTCATATTTTTCTGAGAACTACCTTCCTCCGTTTCAGATGGAATAATGGTAACGCATGAGAGGTGGGGACAAGCTGCAGTGTATTGATGATGAAGTACACACTGATACTCAATAGGTTGCACCTTCTGTTATAAAAATATGGTACTGCATTCATGAATCCCAAAGCAGTACATTTGTGCAAGTAGGCACCAACAATGTCAGAGAGCTGGGTTAAAACAAAACCTCCTGTAAACTTCATTGTCAGACATAGAAGCATTACAAAACTGCCTAAGGGAAGGAGGCACAGCTGCTTGAAGTAATATGACTCTCGTCAGTCATGGAAGATGAGAAGCAGTACAATAGGAGAAGGCTATGGTACTGGCAATGGCCATAGCAAGGAGGGAACCGTATATAAAGCGAGGATTCTCTGTGCCCAGGAAAGGTGGTCATTGTCTCAAGGTTCAGGTATGTAGGGTTTGGTTGCACATCCTTATGTAAGTTAGCCATTAATAATGTAAGGCTGGTAACCTGGATCACAACCTACATGACAGTCTGTCGGAAGGCTGGAAGGCTATTGATATTAGGATGAATAACTCCCAGATATGTATTATATTTATTGCTCACCTTTTTTTCGTTCAAGGAACGTGAGGAGGTTTACACAATCCTCCTCTTCCCCTTCAGTCTTATCCTCCCAACAGACCTGTGAAGTAGGTTGGGCTAAGAGTCTGTGACTGGCCCAAAGTCACCCAGTTGGCTCCATGGGCGCCATAATCCATAGGGAGTATGCACAACAAATTCTTAAGAAAAGGAATGAGAAGTTTCATTTTTATCACCTTGTGTGCTTTCTTGTAAAATATGAGCAAGTGCATAATGGCTATAGGAGCTGCAGTACCGAAAATGTGGTAGTTTATAAGGCTGAATTGCTTCACAACCAAAGTTCAACTGCTGAAGCAGTAAATATGTAGGCCTGCACTTTCAGTGTCTTCTGTAGGCAGGATGATAGATCCACTCCATAAAGTTGTGGTTTAGGATACAAAAAAGGGGTACAGTCCTTTCATGGTATATGACATGTATACATTCTTCAGCATACTGAGGTTTCAGACTCCAGGTTGTGTTGAACATGGAGCCACGTTCATACAGTTCCAAGCATCACAATGGCAGGTAGGCTGTGTGTATGAGTCATAGATGAGAATGGAAATGAGTATCGAAAGCCTGCACTGGTGCAGAAAGAAATGAAGTCAACAACATGGGGTGTTGACTGGATTAGGAAAATGAATGTCCATAGTATCATAGGGTGTGACTGTAGGAAATAAGTGGAACCCAAGAGACTGACCAGGGCTTGAACCATTTGCAGCACAAATGCTGAGTATTGATGTCATGAGTGCTGGGTTCCAGGGTCTAGCTAGATGCTAAGGTTACTGAAGTACCATAGAACAATCAAAACAGGTACGCTATATACTATTGCCAAGGTCATCAGGACTTTATGCTAGGTGTAAAGACTGGCAAGAAGTGTCCGAAAGAGACTCCTCAGCGTTAAAGTGTCCATATCAGGTGTGCTATACAATGTGACTCAGAAGATGAGGAACCAAGGCTGTTAATACGCATTAAAACTTGGGCTAAACTTAAAGGCCATCTGTAGCAATATTAAGTTCATACTATATGTCAAAAAGACAAAATACATTTCCATTTCATGCTGAGAAGAAAGTCTTGCCCTTAATTCTTGTGGGAGCATGTTTTATTTCTGTTCAGAGGCAAGTGTGCTAGAGCTCTTGAAGGTTCTGAAATACTGCTGCAGACACTTGCAGATTCCATATATGAGCCTGCACAGAAGCCATGAGGAACCTAGTAAAAGTGTTAAATGGTTTGCTTTGGCATTATATAAGCGTCACATAACTATAGAATAAGAAAGGAAACTTATAATAGCTAAGGTATTGGCACTTAAGCTTACTTTCTGATACAGTATTTTCTTTCCTTCCTTAGAAGTACATGGAAGCTTTGAGCAACTTGAGAAAAAATCTAAATAAAAAATCCTATGTAAATTGTATGGGATCCTTGGCACTAGAGACTACCTTGATAATTGAATCCTGGACAGCATATTTCCCTGGCTGGGCTGGGCTGGGCTGGGCTAATCTTGCCAATAGCTCTCATGCCTCTTAACACTTCAAAAGATTACTGAGAGCTACTAAAACTATCAGCTTCAAAGATTTTAAATGCTCTTTTAATATGCAGTATTCTGAAGAGAGGCTGCATATTTGACAAAACAAAGTTAAATGCTTTTTGTTTGTTTGGATGCTGAGCTCTTTCAAAGCCCACGCATTAAGTGCTCAGTTAATTTGATGCCAGTGACAATTAGATTTTTTATTTCTCTAGAACACATGCTGAATGTTTGTAGTTTTAAACCTTCAATGTGAACCTATAACCCTAACATCTAGTGTTTTATTTTAAGGTTGGCACCCGAAGATACATGGCTCCAGAAGTGTTAGAAGGTGCTATAAACTTCCAAAGGGATGCGTTTTTGAGAATAGACATGTATGCCATGGGTCTCGTCCTGTGGGAGCTAGCATCACGCTGTACTGCATCAGATGGTAAAATCATGTTTTGTTTTATATTATTGATTATGGGTTTAAGTTCCGTGAACTGCCAAGAGAGCTTTGGCTGCTAGGCAGTGTTGAAATAGATTAAAACACAATTTTTAAATATATGGAAAGAGTATTCCAAGTTAAGGTTAATTAATTAATCAACACTAAATTTCCCATAAATGTGGTCATAAAGTGCATTTATTTTATAGAGCAAGGACTTGTTGTCAGTAGCTTTGATTTTCATTATTTAAAGATAGCAATGTTGAGTTGTATATAGGTACAGAAATGAAGTATGCACATAAATGCAGAGACTATTCATGAACTATTTACTATACAAGCACTATACAGAATTATATACGCCAGCCTAGTACCTGCCAGAAGTTTTGGACTTCAACTTCCATAAGCCCCAGTTGGTCAGAAATCCTCTGAGTTGTAATTCACAGCTTCTGGAGAAAATATATTGTATGATAATATTTAACCTTCAAGAAGGGCCACAAATCATAACCGTTCTGTGGTGATTTTGTCTCCCATAAAATCACCTTTTTGTTATCCTGGAATAACCAAATTTAGAAGTTTGATACTGATGGAGACAGACAAAATTGTATCTTACTTATATCCCACCCTTCTGCCAAAAATGGTGCTCAAAGCAGCTAAATACAGATTGAAAACAAAATCTTAATTAAAATATAATGTAAAAAATGTGAAACATAACTGAAACAAAACAATAAAAGAAAAACAGCACCCAACAATTTAACCTCTTCATCTGCAAACAAAATCACATGGTAGAGGCCTGCATGAATGAAAGCATTGTTGTCTGTCAGTAGGCAAACATCAGAAAGGGGTCCAGCCCTCAACAGGGAGTTCCAAAGTATGGGAACAGCCATCACAAAGGTCTTTTCTGGCATCCCAACCAAATGGGTCTCCAGTGGCAGAAAGACTGAGAGAAATACTCTCCCAAAGATTTTAAACTGGGATGGGCACATACGGGAGAAGATGGTCTTTCAGGTAGCCTGATGCCAGGCCTCTACAGGGCTTTTGTATGTCATAACCAGCACTTTGAATTGTACCTAGAAATAGACAAATAGTCAGTGAAGGTGTTGTATCAAAAGAATCACATGCTCCTTAGCTAGGCTGAATTACCAGTCTGGCCACAGCATTCTGCACCTACTGAAGTTCCCCAACAGTCTTCAAAGGCAGCCCCACATAGAGTTCAGTATAGTAGTCCAAATGGGAGGAAACTGTGTGAAAGTGACCATTTCAGACATACCAGGTGCAGTTGGCACACTCATCTCAGTTACATAAATACCAGTGCTGGCCACCATTGAAACTCGGAAACTGTTAGCACTGAATCCAGAAGTTCACCCCAAATTATTCTCATGGAGAACCCAGGCTAAACCTTCATAGAACCCACTAAACACTTATCTGGCCAACTCTGACATGTAGTCAGCAAATAGTCCACTCAAAGAGAAATTCAGCCATGTATTTGAAGTGCCTTATTTGTGAGCACTGAATGATTTAATACAATGCTTATTGTTGAAACAGACTCAGTAGTGTAGTCTGCTGTTCCTTCTCTCTACAGGCTTCATCAAGTGGGTCAAATAACTTTGATATTTATTGCAAAAGGCAGGGGTGAAACAAGATGGTTTCAGCAGCATAGAATTAGGCACCATGGGAAAAAATGTGGCTATCCAAAGGCTGTTTTCCCTTGCAAGAGCAGGAAGGTATCTGTGCCAGTAGTCATCCATTCTTTACACTGGCTACTTCATCAGGCTTCGGCGAATGGGGCGGCATAAAAATGTTTTAATAAATAAATAAATAAATCAGGTGTGAATGAACTTTGAATGATCCTTCAGCTGCATCAGTACAGATTCACAAAACATGAGAAAGTACTTACTTCCCTTGCATAGCAAGTTGTTACTCAGTATGGGAAAACCCAGTTCACACCTAGCCTGATATATTATGGTTTTCCACATATATAGAGGAAACAGTAACTATCTGTGTGTTTTATTACAACTTGATCTGGTCTGTTACTGTTCTGTGCCCGGAACAGAGAAAGTTGGACAAGCGCTAACCTTCGAGTTGCTGCTCCTTGAATTTCTATACACTAGATATATGTTTGAACCTCGGAAATTGCCCCATACCATAGAGTTAAGTTTCTACCCACTAGCACTTAGGCTTAGCCATTTTGGCTGGATCCTGACTTGCCTCATTTTGGGAGGACCAAGTCTAGCAAGAGCACCCTGTTGGCAGACTTCCCCCATCACATGATTAAATCTACAGAGTACATCAGAAAGCCAGGACAAGTAACTAACTTTTGGATTTACCTGCTTCATGGAAGAAGGGTAGGTTTTAAAAGTAACTTGCCTAATAAACTTGTAACTTGTGTCTTAAAATGCAGGACCTGTGGATGAGTATATGTTGCCTTTTGAGGAAGAAGTGGGTCAGCATCCTTCACTTGAAGATATGCAAGAAGTTGTAGTACATAAAAAGAAGAGGCCTGTCTTGAGAGAGTGTTGGCAGAAGCATGCTGTAAGTAGTACAAACTGGCAGAATATGGAAGTTTCCATTTGGAAGCCAACACTTTTGACCTTTTTAATCTGTGGTGGGTGCTCTACTCCCTCCCAGTACTGAATTCCCACATGGCATTTGCATATATACTCACATAGTCAGCAAAGTACAATAATAATGCTAAAGTGCCTTTCACTGTTAGGTGAAATCATCCTCCATACTGGAAACAAAGGACTAATACCTCTTCTGTGGTAGAGAGAATATAATATAATATAAGCTTCCTCTTTAGAGAATATGGACAGAGAAAACATAGGCATATATGGAAGTCTGTTTTCATTCTCTCTCCCCCTCAATAAAGAAATATACCCTGACTCAAAAACACGACAGTCAAACAGGAAACATATGCATACACAGCTCGTCCTGCCTGAGGGGAAGTAGCCATGACTCCATTTTCTCACTAGATGATGTGGTCCAGAAACTACCTTTCAGTGTAACCTACCTCACAGGATTGATGCAAAGTAAAAAGTCAACATAGGGAGACCCTTAGCTCCTGGAAGAAAAGTAATCACTTTTTACTGAGGTTTATGCTTGCAGTCTCTTTTTCCTTCTGCAAGGGTGAAGAACCTGTTAGAATTGTCTGCCCCCAGAGTCTAACAGATTCAGAAAGTTTCCAGATGGTTCCGGGGAAGTTTCTAGACTATATGGCTGGTGCACCTGTCAAAGCTCAAGTCACTCTGTGGAATGCTTGACTTGTGGAAAAAGTAGTGGTGCTGCAACTTGAAGTTGCAAGCAACATGCTTAATATGGGTGCCAAAGGTTTTTGTGGAGACAGATGTCCTCTGTAGGAGCAATTCATGTCCCCCTGCTACACAGTGTTGTTTGCCATTGTCACTGAAGAGGACCTTCCTCTCTGACCTTGGAGAAGGGCATAGACTCCATCCTGTGGCCTTTGAGACACCTTGGGATGGTAGGATTGCTGCCTAAAAATTGCTTTAAAGTGAGTGACACCTAGTCACAAGTAATTTAGACATTGTTAATTTCAATAAAACTACATTATGCCTTTATTTTGCCTTATTGTGATCTGAAAAGGAAGCTGTGTTTGAGGAATTTCTTGGGTAAGGCTTCCTCTCTCTTAGTTTTTGGTTTCTATTGCAATTCATTATCACGTTTCAAAGCCTAAAGAAGTGATCAGAACAGCATGAAGCATTTTGTGTAATATTCTTAATATATAAATGTTAAAATCTATTTACTGGAGTTGAAAAATCCACATAGTTCAACTATAACCTGTTTGGAAGAATGCTTCTTGAGTGAAAATTGGTTTGCTGTGTTTTCACTGCATGTTACTGCTGAGTTAATGTTTGCTTATGCAGTGTATTTCACAATAAAACCAATTTGGAGTGGGGGGAGCAGAAGCGCATCATATTTTAGCAAGAAAGCTGCTTTAAAGCTCAGACATTCCAGGAAGTGCCCTCAGAAATAGCCATTTTGACAAGTCTATGAAAGAAATACAAAAATACACCTCTGTGGGCCAGATAGGGTCACCATTCTGAATTCCCAAAAAAGAAGACCCCAAACAAGGATTTCTCAGTTGGCTTCATAGAGCACTTCCTTCAGATATGCAGGATTCCAGGATTTCATATAACTAGCAAACTGAGTTGGGCATAGAGAATAAACTTGTAGTTAGTACAGAGGGCAAAAATACAGGTAATATATGCAGCCAGCAGCCCACGCTAACCCAGTGCTGAACCTTCTGAGCCATCTCCAGAGTATAAAGTGTGTTACTATTACTACACCTGACAGGTTTTTAGATCAAATATTGAACGTGTTTTTAGATAGATATTTTAAGTCTGATTTTTTGCTTTGAATATCATTTGGATTTTTAAAATACATCCATATTTTTCTTTTTAGGGAATGGCAATGCTCTGTGAAACAATAGAGGAGTGTTGGGATCATGATGCAGAAGCTCGATTATCTGCAGGTTGTGTAGAGGAACGTATTATTCAGATGCAAAGACTAACAAACATTATAACAACAGAAGACATTGTGACAGTGGTCACTATGGTAACAAATGTGGACTTCCCTCCCAAAGAATCCAGTCTATGATAGTTGCACTGGTCACACATCTTGACCAATAAGACTTTGTGAACTGGAGCTGCTAAGCTAATGGGCCTGTTTCTGGTCTACAGTTTTCTGCTTGAAATGTGGAACAGTAAGTCTGCTTTGGAGTGTCAGTAGGAAGACATCTCCTTGCCCAACACCAGATGTGGATCCCCAGGAGACTTACTGCATTCCTTGCATATGCCTGAAGGACATGGGACTGAGAAAATGGCAAAATTATGTCAGCAAACTTAAAAGAAGAAGAAAATGGACCTATCCTGGCTAATCCCAACATTTTAAGCGCTGGCATTTCATTTCTTAACATGTCAGACTAAGACTAATTCCTTAAAATGAACTACTGCTATTTTTTTTAAATCAAACATTTCATTTCAGATTTAAGAAAAAGGGTAACTTGTTTTTATTGCATTTGCTGTTGTGTTTATATAAATGACTATTGTAATGCCAATATGACACAGCTTGTGAATGTTTAGTGTGCTGCTGTTCTATGTAATCAAAGTGGGATCTAGCAAAAAGGCTTCCAAGCATTACTTAACCTCCCTCAACAAGGTATACCTCAGTTCCACCTATGCTAAATTGTTGAATTGACAACACTAACAAAACTGAAAGAATTGATCCAGATTTTGTATATTATGTATTACAGATTCATGATGTTTTGTTTTGTTTCATTTTTAAAGATGGTAAGCTGTGCTTCATGCCAACAGTCAATGGCCATTCCTAAAGTGGTGTGTTAGTCTTTCCTTGTTCTAGCTTGTGTATAAAATGTATTGTGTGTTCACTTACAATCTTCCCCAATTTTTAGTTTAAAGCTTTACTTTACCTCCAGTTCTCAAAATATTGCATACATTTATTTGACTAAATATTTAGGTTTGCTGTGTCTGACGGTAATTTGAAAATTTAAGCATGACTTTAAAAAAAAAAAAACTATGAGCGATGGCACTGGAAAGCTCTTGACTTTACTTTTTTGAAAGAAGCTTTTTTCAATTTTATGTATGTTAATGTTCTGACTAGTGTATTTTGTTTCTCTAAACAGGATTCAGTGGGTTGGATTCAGATTTAAGTGCATTTAAGACTCAGACATCTGCTCCCCCTCATGAGCCTCTCTGGCTTTCTGCAAATGCTACACAGAGGGCCTTTGACCCTCTGAATAGTGTTTCAGACAGGAGCTGGAGCTTGGGAAATGGCACCATTGCATGTGGCTAAACCTGGATCTAACCCAGTTTCCACTGTGTTTCAGGATCACCTCAGGAAGCTTCATTACCCAGAACTCCTCACTTTTCATGCATTGCCTTTCATGCAGCTTCACAACACTTAATTTTGGTGCCAGCTTATCAGAGTAATATTTTGTGATGCATAGGTTTCTCTATGGTCACCAAAAATTAAAAATACAGCTAGAGATTTCTTTTTAAAAACATGCTTACCATCAGATATGCAATTATTTCTGTTGAGATGATAATGTAGCACAGTCTAGCAAAAAAAAAAAAAGCCCTACAACTTTAAATTTAAATTACTGTATTCAAGAGTTACAGGCATTTAAGATGTCAAGCCTTACCATAAGAAACTCTAGGAAAAAGGGCAGTAAGAGGACAGGTGCCAAAGTACTTTTGAAAAGTAATAACACACTACAGTTATTTGATCAGCTACATGTATACAGGCCAAAGTAAGTTTGCTCTCTAAAACTAAGTACTGAACCAACAGTAGCCAGTATTACGAGATTCTGGTCAGGTCATTTTTTTAACCATGCATTAGATTTATAAATATTTTTTTTAATGTCAATCAGTTGTTCACTGTGAATATTCTCTTCTAAACAGTTATTTATTAAATCACACTGTTTTCTTATGTACTGATCTCTGGGAACAAAGAGGAAATATTTATAAACAAGATTTTGGTCACCGAACTAAAACAGGAAGAAAGGTAACAGCAGTTGTTTGTAACTGGCATGCCATGAAGAGAAACTGTTTTGCCTCAAGGTTTTATGGTAGCCGTGAGAACTCCATGCCCTAACTGCGTTACAGATACTGTTGGGCACAATTTGTTCGGTCTATTTGGTGACAAACATAGGGGGACTGTTTCTTCAATTGTATTTTTGAATAAAGGAGGATTATTTGCTTGCTACTTACTTTAGGGCTACTAATTATATAGCAACCCTAACTCAAGAAGTCATGGTCGATATGTCTCATTTCTCCTCAAATGAGTGTTTATACTAAGGAAATGCAAAAACTATCAGTGGACATCTAAAACATGTAAATATAAGAACCATTTCTAGTTGAAAACACAGAATGCTATGTTTGTCTTGGGAAATTAACCCCCAATTTTTCATAGAGCAGCTTTCTATCAAACACAGACTTCCACCAATATGACCTGAGCCAGGTGGGAGTTTTTTCCTTGTGTATTTTTGCTAATATATTTCTGATTCCAGGTCATATAGGGAAAATCATCAAAACTGACAATCAGAGTACTGTCTCTTCATATTTAAAAATGTCTTTCAAAATCCCCAAAATAACTAGTTTTAAGAGAATGATAGCACATCAGAAAAGATTTTTGGTAGAATCTGTGAAACTGCTAAGATTTACCAAACTGTCTTGATCCATATTTACAATAACATCTTGCAGGGAACCTCAACATCTTTGTATCCAACTTATACAGAAAATGTAGAGGTGGGCAAGTTCGTCTTTAACACATGCTTAAGCCAAGACCCAACATTAAAAAACACCATTAAGTCTGAACTAGGAAGATGCTCTGCTTTTTGGCAGATATTGTGACAATTGTTGCTTTTTGTATTTGAATCATACAGCTTGTATGGCCAGCTCTGGTGGTTTACCTTGTATCTTTGACTTGTGAAGAAAAGCTAGAGCCCAGACTCAAGCTTTCAGTTGTCTTTGGTTTGCCTGTGTCTACTTAGTTGGCTGCCATATAATTGCCACAGGATTTCACAAAATAGCCAGTTTTGTGATCAACTGAAGTCTAAACCCTGCAATTCATTTTCGGTTTGTGTTAGATGCTAAGAACTTTATATCACATGATGCATGACTACTCTTTGTACAGTTGCTAAATATAACTTAGCATTTTGGAACAGATTGTGCCTCGTAATTATTGTTGGAGTTATTTGACCTAGCGTTATCATTCATGGTGATACTCTGAAAATGAGTCTGGATTACAATACACAACTTTATACCTTCTTTGATAGCAAAATCCATGTGGAGTAGTTCTTGCATAACTAAGGTGTAACCAGATGTAGTAGTGATAAATATTCATACTACAGTTCTACAGAATAAATTGCTGATTGTAGTTTAACAAAGTGAGGTGACTGATTGGTTGACCTTTTTCCAGTTCTCTTTTTAACCTTTTTAATGCATTTTTATTAGGAATATTTGGTATAAGATACAGAAAGCTATGTACAGAATTATGAGCAAATGATAAAAAATAGTATCCTTGTTGGAACACCATTTACCTCAAGATACTCAACCAGCAGTACTTTTTTTTAATGCACACTCAGTCCATATAAGATGTTACCTCTCAAGATATTGGTAAGCAATTATTTAGCTTTACTCTGTACTTGTCAGTGTTCTGGGCACAGGTTGTTGTACTACTGTCAAACTGCTCTTGCTATTTTTTGGCAAGTATTTAAAATAAAATAACCCCATCCTGGATAAAAGTGATTGTGAAATATTGTATAAATGTATGCTTTCTCTTCCCCTATTCCCAAAGATGAATAAAAGATTAAGTGACTACTGTGACTTGTCTAGTTTTTTGTTTTTGTTTTTTGGCAAGTTAGTCCTTAAAACATGTCAAATTAGTAGATGTGTACGTATTTCTTTCAGATTTTGTTTTGCCCATTGGAGGTGCTAAAGATGATTCAACAGCCAGTTTAGGTCTTGTTGAGGTAATAATTGTAATAACCTGAATCCTGACAGTAGCATAGTTGCTAGAATGCTGGACTAGAATCCAAGTGATCCAGATTCTAGTCCCTACTTAGCTACAGAACTCACTGGGTGACTTTGAGCCAATCACAGATTCAACATAGGGTTGTTGCCTGGATAAATTGCAGTAGATTATGTTAACCACCTTAAATTCCTTGAAGGAAAATGGTGGGGGAAAAAAGAAATTTGGAGGGTTTGCAGTATCTTACAGAGTGGGGAGAAGGCAACACAGGCCTCCATGTCCTTCCCCCTTCTATTTTCACAGGTCTTTTTGCTTGCCTAGGGATAGCTATTCATAGGGGAAAAAATGTCCCATGAGTAGATGTCCAGCAGGACTGTTGCTTATGGTCTGAAGTGGAGCAGCACAACCCTAAAAGTGGTTTATCCTCTGAGGGGAAGCAAGGACTTCTCTAACATTGTTGCTAGTTGCTAGTCGTTTTTGCTTGGTGGTGAAGGGGGCTGCTGCTTCACTCTCCCTGTTGTAAGTGAAGCGGAGGGAGGGTGCAAGACCAAGCAGGGTTTCTGATTGAAGATCAAGTTAGAGTAGTGAGGTGTAGAGAGAGCTATGGTGTTGTGCAGGTTAGCCAAGTAGAACACTGCAGAGACAGTTAACAATCCTGCCATGTTCTGGCTCTCTACACATCCACAGGTTTCATGGTTGCTCTGTCAGTCTGTCCTTAGACGCTGCTGTTGAATGCCAGATCAGTGCATAATAAGACCTCCCTCATCCATGACTTTGATGAGGTAGCTGATCTAAAATGCTCACCTGAGACCTGGCTGGGTGAACAGGGGAGAATGAGCCTCTCTCAGCTCTGCTTGCAGGGTGCCAGGTACAGCGTCAAGGAAGACTGGAAGGCAGGAGTGGGGGAAATGCTCTGGTTTATAGAAATTCTCCGATATGTAAATATTCCTAGAGTATTTGCATCTTGAGCTTAGTCAGCAGGAGAGACTGGGGAATCTGTTGGTGTATTGTTCACCCTGTGAGCCAACAGTCTCCTTACCTGAGCTGACAGAGGTTACTTTGGCCATGATGTTGAGGTCTTCCAGGGTGATGGTCCTGCAGAGTATCCTAGTTGAAGGCGCACTCTGGTGGCTCAGGATTTCATGAACTCCATGACAACCATAAGACTGTCCAATGATGTCAGTGACCCAATACATGTGGCAGGGCACATTTGGGATTTGGTTGTTTCAGCTGAGCATGGGAATACTGATCTGAAAGTTAGGGGTGGGGGGAGGGGCTTTAAATCAGTCCCTTTGTCAAGATCAGCTCACAGCCTGTTGAGATTTAGGATAACAACAACTTCTCCCCTATCCAGGGGTGTGGGACCCATTAAGATGGTCTGCCCCCAGAGTCTGATGGAGTTGGATTGTTTCCAGAAGGCTCTGAGGCCTTATGGCTGGGCAGTCCTGTAGAATCCCTGGTCAGTCTCCGGAACCAGTTCTGAATACTTTCTCTGTAACAGAACATGGCTCTGGTATACCCTAGATCTGAGAGCAATGAAACAAAACAGGAGCTGGCTTGACTGCAAATAGAGAAAAACGCCTGGTAGAGCAAGATGAGTTCTGGTATATGCCTATAGTTGGAGGCTCTGACTGGTGAAGGAACAGTATCTCATGGTCTCCAGTCAATCTTCTCTCTCGACACCTAGCAGAGCTCTTAAGGGTTGTCCAGGGCCTATTACTTGCTGGCCCCAAGGACATTATAGACCTACATGAGGCCTCAATACATCTGTGAGTGACTTCCAGGATAAGATTTCTTTCATCCACCAGGGTTTAAACTCCAGCATAGTTCTAGTCAGTACTGCTCAGCGATGCTGACAAGATGCTTGGCCAGATTCATGCAACCAAGAGCCTACTGGATCTTTGTCCCTTTTATAAAAGCAGGGAGGCAATTGCCAGCTGGGCCAAGGAGGTGATTAATGCCTCTGTGTAAGAAGTAAGGTCATCCTACCTGGATGACCAGCTCCAGAAGGCGGTACTGGGGCATTGCACTGGTCTTTGGCCTTTCCACTATGGACCCGCTCAGGTGTCAGTCTTGACCCCCATGCTATTTTAACATCTACATGATACCAGAGCTGGGTCATCCAGAGTTGTGGAATGCATTGGCATCAGTATGGTGCCATACAGCTCTATTTCTCCTGTTCATCTTCAGCAGCTGAAGTTGTGGATATGTTAAACCAGTGCCTGGCTGTGACAATGATAGCTAACCGAAGTCCAATCCAGACAAGACTCACACTGTCAGCTTAACTGTTAAGATCAGTTTGGCCAGCTTGCAGTGGCTACCTGTATGCTCCTGGAACCAATTCAAGGTGCTTGTTTAACTTATTAAAACCTATACAGCTTGGGACCACAATCTCCTTGGACACTTGGGGGGCACGTCTTCTGATTGCCACCTCCAAGGGAGGCTTGCTTTTTCAGTGGTCTCCCCACCCCATATGCTAAACTTACTCTCTTTTATCACTAGGTTAAGACAGTCCTGTACCAGAGGGCATTTAATTAGTTCACTGACATATTGGAGCTACTGAAACAGGTCTTACAATTTAATCTGTATAAACTATTGAAGCCTTTTATTTCAAATGTTGTATATTTTATATATATTTTATCGCTGTCTGTATTTTATATGGTACTTTATGTGTTGCTATAAACCACCCAGATAGCTTCAGCTATTGGGCAGTATAGAATTAAAAGTCATAATAACCTGCACTCTCGCATCCTCTCTCTGCCCAGTGGAATGCTGACCCCCACCCTTATGAGGTCACTTTCCCAAACTTGGAGAACTGCCTGCATAGCTCTTTCCATACCATTGGAGGGAGAGCAAAGCTCTGATCCAGAAGTTTAAGTGCTCTTTGCAAACTAAATCTGGGAAACCAAACTATCCTGTGGCCTCCACAACTCTGTTTAGGGGCGCTTTGCTTTTTCCCCCCAAAATCCTAATCTTTGGGAACAAGGAAAATTAACTTTTTAGAACAAAAGTAATCTTACACTGTTTTGCAGCTTACACTGGAGAGACATTTCTAAATGTGGCCATTAGTATAGATGAGTGCATGAATAAACCACCCATAAAGCTACACTGATCATTGGCTGGTACCAACTGGACATAAGAGCGCTGCTGGATCAGCCAAAGGCTTATCTGGACCAGCATTCTTTCTTCCACAGCAGTCAGACAGTAGCCCATAACAGGACAGCAATGCAATGGCACTCACCTGCTGTTGTATACTGGCTGATATTGCAGATTGCAATCTCCATGTTTCCCTTTAAAAGGCAGTCTTATCCACCATAAATTAGTCCAATCTATGTTGCTGGCTATGGGCAAAAACTGAAGGCCACAAGTATCGCCATTCAGACAGTCCATGTGGAAAACAACCCAGCCAGTTATCCAGTCCTGTGCTTGCAACATACTCCACAAATCAGACTGGCCCTGAAGGGGCCCTCTGAGACTATTATATTTGACACAACCTTCCTCGGCAAGAAATCCTCAGGATTCCGTTTATAGATATACAATCCCTCTCCTGTAAGCTGCTTGTGCTATCTCAATGAGAAAAAAAACCCTTGATAATGCCAAAAACCAACTAAAGCTGGTACTATATAATAGACGGACTGTGAAATATGTGTGCAAGCTAGATTCTTGTGATTCACAGTATAGCATTTATATAGTAAGGAAGCCATCATATGGGCAGAAGCAGCAGCGTCACTTTCCAAGGAATGATGAAGCAAATAACCTGTGACAAGCCAGAATCCTGAGACTCCATCCTCTAAATGTTTAGAAGTGGCATGGAGACTACAGGAAACTGGGCCTAGTTCCAATTGAGTCGTGGCTGCTTTCAGGCCCAAACTATGAAGGAAAACCTGTACCTTCAGAGGCAGCCAGCTCAAATGTACTTTAAACAGAAATGGAGACTACAGAGTAGTCCAGATATACGTCTTCCATTAGGTCGAGCGTATCAGGGTCCAATGGGAAAACAGAAATGGGGAACTGATTTCAGGAATCAACATAGCAGAGTGGGTCTATCAGTGCTACTCTTGGGAGAGTTTGCCTCTTCAAAATGCATCCCTTAGTTGATTGGGAACAATCTGCAGTTGAAGAGATGGGCTTGCTGCCCTAGGCAGTATTATTCTTATGTCTGCATAGTGCTTGTGAGGCCTGTGCAAGATGGCAATTTCTATACACAATTCTGACACACAAAGTTCTTTGTGGTCCTCCACGCTACCACATTAAAGGTTAGTATTTAAATAATTAACCTAGAATTATGCAAGTTTTCTTACTTCTTCCATTTGGTTGGCCTACACGGCTGAACAAAGCAATGAGCCAAGCATCCATTTATAGCCTCAGAATTGCTTGTTTTGATAGCCAGTGGTCTTTGGAACATTATATATCCATCCCACTATCAAAACTAATAAAAGAAAACTTTACACAGCAATTAATTGCTACTACTTCAAGTTAACTGCATGCAGAGATGCGAACGGATGCAGCATGAAGCTTGCTCAAAACAGTGCAGAATAATGTACCTTGTTCAGTCAGTATATTAAGATACATCAATATGGTGCCCCTCCATTCCCTGCTTTCACACCATTTTTTGTTCTGCATTCAATTTGGAGAAGAATATGAGTTTCTAACCTTGCTCAGCACAATCATAATTTTACAGAAAACTTATTCTGCCTATATCCAATCAGAAATAGATCAAATTGTGCATACAGCGGTACTGGGTGTTACAAAAACTACTGGGCAAAATGCATCATAAATCCTACTCTCAGTAACCTACTGGAATGAACTGGATTGGACCGAAGTTAGTTCTGATACTTTTTTCCCAGTTTTAAAAGCCCGGACCGTCTTCAAAGGCAGCCCTACGTAGAAGACATTACAGTGTTCCACATGAGAGGCTACTAGTGCATAAGTGTGACAATGCTCTGCTCATACAAGCAGGAATGTAGTTGAAAAATCAGCCTAAGCTGAAAAAGGGTGTTCCTAGCCACCGAGGCCACCTGACAAACAAGTGAGAGTTCAGAGTCCACGAGCACCCCCAAGCCAAGAACCTTATCCTTTAGGGGGAGCGCAACCCTGTACAGAATTGGTTGAAAAATTCCTAGTTGGACAAAAAGACTGCCAACCAACAGAACCCCCATCTTGTCTGGACTGAGCTTCAATTTATTGGACCTCATCCAGTCCATTACTGAGCCAAGGTACTGGTTCAGGACAGTCACTGCCTCACCGGGGTTAGGTAAGAATGAGATGTAGAGCTAAGTGTCATGAGCATACTGATGACACTTCAGCCCGGACCTGAGGATGACCCCACCCAGTGGTTTCATGTAGAAGTTAAAGAGCATGCAGGATGGAATAGAGCCCTGGGGAACTCCATGCCACAAATGCCAAGGCACAGGGCGAATGTCTCCCAGTCCCACCACTTGGAGATGGTCAGCTAGATAGGAGTGAAACCACCACAATGCAGTGCCCTCAGCACCCAGCCTCTTCAAGATACCATCATAAGCCTCAGGGACACCCAGAAAAGACTCACTGTGCCGAGGGAACAAGTTGTGGCACAGACAGAACCCAGTACCTTGTCCACATCCTTGGACCGCAATTGAAGCTCATCCAGTAAAATTGGACGAGATGGCACTGGGATAACTGTTCAACTCAAGACAAATCTGAGTGACTTTACCCTCAAAACATTGTGCAAACTTGTCACAGCTGCTCTCTGAGGGTCCAGAGCCAATCTGGATTTCGAGACAGAGGATGAAGGGGAGAAGGAAGCTTGAGAACATGGGCCACAAGACTGTGAGATAATAGAAGCACTGCTTGTCTCAAAGCCACTCTCCCAAAGTGCAGCTCTGAGAATGCACAAGATGCACACGTTTTGGGTGGAGGCATGGGAGAGTTCTCCAAGTCACATGTATCTGGTACAACTCCTGACCTCATGATGAGGTGACAGGAAAGGAGCGAACATTTAAGGACAGATGCATAGAAAGGAGGCAGGCTCACTTCCAAATGGGCCCTTCAGGAGGGATTGGACCCAGACATAGTCAAAAGGAGGGTTCCTGGAAGTAGTTGTTCAGATTGGGTTCAACAAACCGTTCTGTGCAAGCACAGGGTTACATTCTGTGAGGGTTGCATTTCTTAAGCACCCTTTGGTGAATAAAGAGCTTTTGCAAAGAAATGGCCTGTTGCCATGAATATGCGACGGGAGACTTGGCACACAACACTGCAGAGAATTGACACCTGGGAGTAGAATAAACAGAGTGCAGCTGGGAAAATAGTACAGAAAGCTTATACGCCAAAGAGGATTCCAGGTAGGGTGACTCACTCAGAATATGATTCAGTACTTTGAAGGACAAAACTCTACAGCAGCTAGGGAACCTAAGGCAAAATCCAGCCTTCCTGCTGTTGCTGAGATGACCCTGCGGTTAATTGTCTCTGGACTTCCTAGCTCTCGGGCACTTGTTCCCATTCTAAAACGTTGAACTTTCCTACGGTTTATTACTACAAGAAGAGCTCTGAGTTAAAATAAAGCTGGCACTTTTTGTACTTCTGCCCCCACCTACTCTTCTTCTCTAGTGCTCCCTTCCACTGGAATGCAAGCTCTGAGGGATTCTCCAAAACTGAATTTCGTCCTCTCCACTCTAGATTTACAGTAACAGCGGAGCGTGCTGATTGCCCACTTGTGAAGGAATATCCACACCAGCATGGGAATAGAAGGGCTCTCAGAACAGTATGAACAGTTTGCATCAGAAATGTACATCTTCAAGCCATCACCTAGCGATGAGATGACAAGCCTGACAGAACACCAGTCTTCGTTCAACCCTAAGCAGTTTTTCTATTAGTTTAGGAATACTCAAGAGTACTGTTACAAGGGTCCCTTTTACTCTCTGACCACTATTTCTCAGTAATGAGGTTCTGCTATACAATGAAGTCAACTTTTGAACGACCAATTTCTGTGCAAACTTCTCTAGTGTGAACTTATTTGCATTCACTGTTTAACTCAGCCACCCTCAATTTGTAGCCCTAAAGACTTTTTTTTAACTCCTTTAGCATCCCTGACCATTTTGGCTGGTGATAAGTGAATTCCTCAAGAAGGCATCAGGTTGCGGGAGGCTACTTCCCTGGGCAAGGTTCTACAGTGATTGCCCAACAACTCCAGGTATGCTTGAATGAAACTGATTATCTGGATCTATTTTAACTGAAGCTCAAGGTGTGGTTCTGGCATGGAAACAGCCTTGATCACCCTGTTGATACTGCGGGACCGCTTGGTGGCTTTTGATATGATTGACCATAGCAGCCTCTGGAGCAGCTGGCTGAGATGGGAGTGGGGCACACTGCATTGCAGTGGTTCCACTCCTACTTGGAGGGACATCTCCAGAAAGCGGTGCTTGCGGAATATTTTTCAGCCCTGAGGATTCTCCAGGTTGGAGTTCCTCAGGGGTCTGTTCTGTCCCCCATGCTCTTTCAAGAGCTACACGAAACTGGGTGGGGCCATCCAGAATTTTGCAGGGCATTGCCACTAATATGCTGATGACACACAGCTCTATTTTTTGCTTTCATCATCATCAGGTGAGGCTCTGGATGTGCTAAACCTGTACCTGCCTATGATAATGGACTGGATGAGGGCAAATTGAAGCTCAATCCAGGTAAGATGTGTTTGTGAGTGGGTGGTTCCTTTGACTGGATGGGGAAGGGGGTGTTCAACCTGTTCTGATGGGGTCACACTCACCATGAAGGAGCAGGTTCATAGCTTGGGGGTGCTCCTCGATCCACCTTTGTCACTTGACTCAGGTGGCATCGGTGGCTCAAAGTGCTTTCTATCAGCTTCACCTGGTGGCCCAGCTGTGCCCCCACCTGAGCAGTAATCTATGGTCTGGTAATCTCCAAATTAGATTATTGCAGTAGGGCAGAACTTAGCAGGCAGATTAACAACAGGGACCTGCAGGTCTGAACACATAAGACCAGTTCTGGCCCACCTGCATTGGCTTTCTGTATGCCTCCGGTCCCAATTCAGTGTGCTGATCTTAACCTATAAATATAAAGCCCTACATGGCTTACGACCCCACTGCCTCTCCCAATCTCAACTTACCTGGACACTACATTCAACTTTTGGGGCCTTCATTCTTGAGAGGCTCACAGGGTGGCAACCTGGGGGAGGGCCTCATCAGTGGTGGCCCCCTATTTTTGGAACAACCTCCTCACTGGTGCCTAATTTCCCATCTTTTCAGCATCTGGTTAAGACAGCCCCTTTGAGGCCCTTAAAGATTTCTCTGGTCATCTAGGGGCCTGTCACAATTAGCCAGGTGCCTTTCCTTTACCCTTGGCTGGGTCTTTTTTGTCTTTTAATGTTCTTTTAAAATGACTTATATCTATTTTATTGTTTTTATACTTTGTAAATCACCCAGGGAGCTTCAGCTAAAGGTGTGTACAAACAAAATATGTAACAATTAACAATAAGCAGTGTTCATGTTTGTTCATTGATAGTTATACTAGCTAAAGCCCAAACACTAGGAATGGGACAGGAACAGAAATACCTGCGTTCTGCAAATGCACACACGTATGGTGTTCTTGACCACCAACCCACCCTGTCAATCATGCAATCACCCTGTCAACCAAGGCACTGAAATAGCTATTTTTTTCTACTATCAGGACTTCAGCAGAACAGGGTTTTTTTTTTTAAAGTATAATGTTATTCATAAAAGAACAACTATCAGAGCTTCAACAAAATGATTATCATCAGCTGCTACAAACATGAGAAATACTTCAATAGAACAGTAAGGAACAGTTTAATAGAATGCAAACAACTTCATTTACTCGGTTGATGCCCAGCAAAAAAGATTAACACAATTAAAGAACATTTCCTTCTGTTGGGGTTCAAAACAAAAATTCCTCATTTAATATGCCTATTAGGAAAAGTAGTCATTGCAAAAATGATCTAAACAAAACCAAAATGAATTGTTTTTAATGTAGGACACTGAAAACAATTTGAATAGGCAAGATTGCCGATTCAGGTCAAAATTACTAGTTTGTAAACTTTCCGTATTTGTTAAAGGAAAATGGGACAATTCCTAGTTTACCCAAGAACACCCCTTAGAAGATAAACACCCACATTTTCAAGTATCTCCTTTTCAGTTTTTATCACTGATGCCTAATCTGGTGAATAAGCAACTCTGACTCTCATGAGTTTCATGCTTCTGAAGTCCAGAATCAATTTATTGAGGACATTGCCCATTGTTTGACATCTGTTGGGCAATTTGGGTAAACCTGCAAAGCATCCATAATTTGGCTGTTGTCCAAAAGCAGCTTCATGAATAAGTATTCTCTCTGTGTGCTCATAGATGACCCTTCTACAGGTTTTATCAACTCAAGATGTTGCAAATGTTCAAAAGCCTAGAAATAGAAGAATTCAAACAAATATTGTCATTTCCTATTATTCTTGAAAAGCAGAGTAACTGTAAATGCAACAATAGATTTTTTTTTTAAAGATGAAACCAATCTTTAGTAGACCAACCAGAATGTTCACATTACATGGCAATTTACTGAGGGCAACTAGCTAAAGTGGACTGGGGTTCCTGAACTGAATACAGGATGTCAAGCTGTCCAAACCTGGGAAGACTAGCTCCATTGCATGTCATGGGAAATGGTGTGTGAGCCACTTAGAAAAAGTAGCAAAAGCACCAAAAACCTCGTACCACTCTCTCCTGGACCACTTCAAGGAACAGCTGCTTGATGCAGCCCCTTGGCACTTTGGAGTGACCAGTCCACCAACCCCACGCACAACCCCCTTCCATCACTTTTTCCCCTTTACTCCTTCACAATCTTTTTGCAATCTCTGCCACTGACGGCCTCTCCAACGGTCCCAAGAAGCACCCTGGAGCAGTCAGCGGTGGTTTACCTCTTGCCTTTCCATCTGATATGCCAGAAATATTTTCGTAAATGAGAAAAAGGGGCACATTTGCAGGTGTAAAGGTGTGCACTTGTGCTGTTGGGAATATTGGCTGTCAGGCTGCAGGGGATACTGGCCATGCACACTGAACAAAGAAGGCTGCAGACAGTAAAAGCTCAGGGAGCCAAGGTTCCATTTGGATGCCAGGAAGCACTTCCTGACAGTCAGGACCCCGAGGTTGTGGAATGGGCTTCCACGGGAGGTGGTAGAGGCCCCATCGGTGCGGGTGTTCAAGGATAGGCTAGGCATGCACATGGTGGGCAGGTTGTGAGCGGAGCTGGCTGGAGCCGGGGGTCAGACGAGATGGCCCAGGAGGCCCCTTCTGACTTGTTCTGTTTCTATGTTTCTATAAAACACTGAGCTGTCAAGTGTCAAACGATTAAAAAATCTAAAATACTTGTGCACATTTCTGCCACCTGAAAAAAGTGGGGGAGCAAACCAGGGACAGACACTGCAGTGTGCCACTTGGGAACCTCAGAGGAGCTCTTCCTGATAGAGGTTTTAAAAATACTGTGAAAGAGGAAAAGAAGAAAAAAGGTGCATTGGGAGAGGGTTGTAAGAAAGGGTTGCAAGTGGAATGGGGAGAACAGACAAGGAAGCTTTAGCTGCCAAGTCCATGAAATACCTGCTGAATGACTGAGGAGGAAGGAGTGGAAACCATGAGTGAACTGCCCAACTGCCTGTGGACTTTTGTTCCATGAAGAATCTATCCTGCAAAGCTTATTCTCAGGACACAGTACAGCTTTGTTTTTAGGAGCAAAATATAAACTAAAATTAGAATTAAATCTGGCCTTAACTTTAGACTATTAATTTAGTCTATCAAAAGCAGGATATTAAATATTGCAAGCTACACAAATTCATAATAATGTACACTAGAGGGCATCACAGCACCACAAAGTTTAAAACGGCTGAATCAATCACTATGATCCTCAACATCTAGAAGACTTAATTATTTTATTTGTAAGAAAACTGGAGCTAAATATTACAGGTTCAGTACTGCTATCACAAACTGATCTCAAACTATTCAGTTTCTGAAGCAGCAAAAAAAAAAAACAAAAAAAAAAAAACAATTGGGTTCCCCCAAAATACAAATGTATGCATACCTTCATAACAACAGGTTTCTCGAAGTTGTACACAGTATGTGCCTTCCTCTGAACAAACTTCTGATATTCTGCATTAACAAACAGATATTAAACTTCTGTTTTAGAACAAACCACTGATATTTTAAATAATCTGGTAACAGCTTACCATTATAAACCATCTGAAAATTAAATGGTTCTCCTTCATAAATATCATTTAAATGTTTCATAGCAATTATGAGGCAGAATTCCAGGACAGACAGACCTATGAGAGAAAGGCACCAGTTAATAAATCTTATTTCATTGTAGTATAACTTTTAAGATATTTTGAACTGCACCTCACCAGCAATATGAGACAATATTTCTCCTTCCTTTATGCTTTGAAAGTTAAGTAAATCTGAACTTCAAAAACAAATGTGAGAAAATAGATATATTTTGAGCAAAATGTCTACATGCCTTATTTTTAAATAATTTCTCCAATGGGTTGTATCCAAACGTATGAAGAACTTTGCTTCACAAGAACCCCAAGATTCAAAACACTGCATGCAGACAGTATGTTCTTAGCAAACACATTTATGATGCTTCAAGTATACACATCTGCTCATTCAACATTTTTCTAGATGGCCAGCTAATTAGAAGTATCAAGGGACCTTTTCTTTGACTGGATGTCAGAAGAGTGTGTAACATGTTCTAATAAAGAATTGCAGGGGGATGGAGAATGATAAAGAACATGCACAAATACAAAAATTGGCACTGCAGGGGTGCAAGAAGAAAATTTTAATAACACTTCATATGGATTATGAAAAACAATTGTCTTTGTTTTGGTTAATCATGAAACTCACAATGCATAAGTCTGCATTCAGAACAAGAACTTAAGAGAATGAAAAGAATTCATGCAAATCTTTTCCAAACCCAAGTAACAGGCTGGTAATGTTCATTGATCAGATGGAAGTAACTTGTGAAAGTTCCAAAGACCTGGTGGACCACATTTAGACCTGATGCTTCCGAAGGCCTCAAAAGTGGCGCAACGGAACAACTAGTTTGTGCACAATAATATCCAGAACAGCAGGACTTTTCAGAAAAACCAATGTAAAATTAATTTTGTCACAAAAGAGTTGTGCATTGATAGGGATTCTTCTAGCCCAGGGGTCAGCAACCTTTAACACTCAAAGAGCCATTTGGGCCCGTTTCCCACAGAAAAGAAAACACTGGGTGCCACAAAACTCTTTTGACCTCTAAAATGAAAATAACTGCATATATCGTTTTTTACCTTCATGCTATGTATAAAAAACTACAGTGTGTTGCATTTATGAACCAGATTGGGGGGCTGTGCTGTGCTGGCGCAGGTCGCAGATTGGCGGCTGTGATGCATATTTTGAGCAACGGAGCCGCAGCAGAGGGATTCAAGAGCCATGTGCAGCTCTGGGGCCACGGGTTGCCGACCCCTGTTCTAGCCCTATATACTATAGCTGTGCCCGTATAGACATTGCTGTGAAGCAAGGTGTACAGGAGAATTAGTATGCAAGCAGAGGAGAAAGCACACTAGCAGAGGCCATGCTCCAAACTCCCACATCACAATCTGAAAGTGGTCTAAGCTGGATCAGAGGCCACATCAAATCAAGCGCTTGTCCTATATACTTTAGAGCTTCAGGATTATCACCACAGCACCAACATGAAGGCCAGATTAATTAGAACTGCAAATGAACATGGTCTTACCATGTATAATATTTGCTCTGGAGTCCATTCTACATAGTCTACTTGCTTCAAGAAGGTCTGAGACTGTGATATATGGGTGAGACACAGTTATACTACTTAAAGCAAACATCTGAAGACAAAAAATATAAAATATTTAATTGCTTTTTACTAAATACAATCTATAATCATTCACAACAGAAAGCATCTTGTAGTAATCAACTGACAATATTATTGCAGGTTCCTCTCTATTGTATCATATATTTAGTTGCAATGGCCAGTTTTAAGAACTTTCACAAGTTTACAGATGGTAAACAAACACTGAGTAACTTATTCTTCATAGATTCCATTAAGCAATTCTGGAGGCAGCAGGTCACACACACAATTTAAATTTAAACATTCTGACCTAAGTTCTGGAGAGAAACTACTCTGGGAGATAGGGGGGCATGCAACCTGATCAGTTCTTTGGACCTCTCTGTACCTTTTGATACTACTGAACATGGTAACCTGCCAAACTCCCTCTTTGGAATGGACTTGAGAACACTGATGCTGGTTCTTCAAGACCTTCCTGATGGAATGGACCCAAAAGGTGCTGCTACGGGATTTTAGTTCCACCCCTTTGACCCTGAGAGGTAGATAAAGGTTCAATCTGATTCCCGTACGCTTTTCAGCACCTACCTGAAACCACTGGGAACAGATACGTGAAGGTTTGGGCTGAAATACTATCAATAATGGATGATATACAGTACTACCTCTTTTATATCACCTAATCCCTATAAAGCAGTTGAATGGATATCTAGAGCAGTGTTAGAATGGATGAGGGCTAACAAGCTGAAACTTAAATCTGGGTAAAAGGAACATAACTTTGAGTTATTTTATTTAAGATTTTTATATGCCGTCCCAATACTAAAAGTCTCTGGATGGCTTACCAAAAAAATCTGTTAGGAAATCTGCAGTCTGGATGAAGGTTAAGATCTGGATGGAGTTACATTATTTTGGAGGGGCTAGATCTGGGAGTATTCCTGGACTCCGCACTGCTTATACAGAGGTACAGATGCTCTGGCAGAGATACTTTTTACCAACTGCTTTGGTGGCTGCAACCCTATTTAGAAAAGGCTAAGCCAAAAAGATGCATGCTTTGGTTACACCAAATTATTGGTGTAATAACTGGTAGGTAAATGAACTACTCAGCATTCTATGTAGGGCTACCTTACAAGATAATTCATGAACTGCAAGTCATACAGTATGTGGAAACTAGAATACCTGTGGCACTTCAATATTATTCCTATTCTGTATTGTTTATATTGGCTGCCTATTAGCTTCCACATGCTGGGCTTGGCCTTTAAAACCCTCTGTCAGGGTTGTTCAACTTATTGCACTCCTGATGCTTATATATACAAGACATGGGGGAGGGGAAGCATCCTCCTTTCCAGCAGCTTCTTCCAGGAGGGCAACATTTTGGGCTTCCTATGGTTTAGTATGGGTTCTACAACCCCCTAAAAATGGCAACCAGCACCAAAAGCATTTTCAAAAATTGCTTAATGCTAATTAACAACAGGACAGGTCAGAAAGTGAATAATACACTCTAGTACCAAATCACCTCCAACTATTTAACAGGCAAGGTTCAACAGAAGCATATTACATCAGAAAATACCCCCTTTATTATTTTAGTTGTTTGTTTGAATATAGTAGTTTTTCCTTTTCATTAATGAGTAGAATTAGTTAATTTGCAAGTCCGGTAAAACGTGGATCAGATGTACAAGATTAATGGGCCGAGATCTACTTACCAACAACATGGAAACAGACCGCAGGTCTTTATTATAATGGAATTGGTTTTGCAGTACATCTTGAACCTTTTTGTCTTCTAAGAAAGACTAAAATGGATTTGAGAAGTTATTTGTAAGAGAAGTCTTTCTGTTTATTTAAAGCTATCTGTATAAAATCAGTAAGATTACTTTATGTATAGCATCCAAACAACTCTCAAACTCCCTCTGACTGGGTTTGCTCAATGTCACAGCAAATTGGGCACCTACAGGCACCAAGCAAAAATGGTGCACATGGGTGCCCAGCCTGACACAGCAAATTAAGCCGTGGTGGCCTATCGAACTGTGTGAACTCTCTACGAGTTACTACAGTTAATGCAACCCCCTCCCCGCCCCCCCAAAAAAAGGTGAGGGCAAGATCACAAAGAACAAAGGCATTTCCAGCTACTTTTCCAGGAGCATAATCGGCAGCATTAAAATGTATTGAAATGAAAAAAAAAAGATTTTTTTTTTACACTAAATGCCTCTTAAATAACTAAGTTATAATATAATCAGAGTAAGCATGTTAACAAAGAAACCACATACTCCATTGCTCTACTGGCTTCTCCCACCAGCTCTATAGGCCTGTGCTTTTTCATGTTTCTTCTTACTTTCTCCTTTCCCTCCTACTGATTTAAATGGATTTCAGTGAAACCCTCTTAAGTCCTGTTACTGCTTGAACTTGCTTGGTGGAAAAGGGATGGGGATGATTCTGCTTCTCTCCTACAAGGAGAAGTTTATGGATTAGTGTCACTCTACAGGAGATTGAGAGGGTATGGAGGGAAGAAAAATGCCCTACTGACTTTGCAGTTAAATCTAAGTAAGTTCTGAAGCTGGCATTGTTCTTTCATTCCAGGGGCCCAAGAGGGTTTTTTTGGATCACCAGCCTCTTCCTGGACAGCTACAGAATACCTCTTTTATGTGCTGATGGCGTTCCAGAATTGAACAGGCTATGTTTGTGATCCATTTCACATCCTCATGACAAGAGTCTGCAAGGTCTGGTCTCCCTCTCTGAGAGCATATTGCTCTCCATTTCTAAGAGATTTTTCCACTTACACATGGGACCCTGACATCCAAACCAGTGTATGATTTAAAATGCTTCTTTCTTAGACTGCAAACAAGACTATATGCTTGCAATATATGCTTTTTAGATCACATAAGCACCATTACCCTGTAGTGTATTTGAAAATTTTCTTTTGAAAGACACCCCATTATTTGTTTATTTCTGCTTGCATTTCAACTACCTGTATGTTTTTATTCCATTTCTGAGAGAACTTTTTTTCTGGAAATTCTGGAGGCAGGGATAGTTGTTCTTTACAAATATTCAGGTATTTTTTAAAATCAAAGGAATTCATTAAGTATATTTGCCGGTGTGAAAATCTTGACTTCACTCTTTTCTCCATGAGTTCTAGAATATCCTAGTAAAAGGTATAAAAATAGATTTCAGTTTTAGGGTTTAACCTTAGCATACAAGACATCCATAATTCCAAACCTTTAATGTACACACTTGAATTGTCATTCTGCATTTTTGAATGTGCAACTATACTTTTGAACTCAATTCATGTACTTAAAAAAGGTACGTTAGCAAAACTATCCACCAATTAAAGACTTCTATAAATATTTCTTACACTTGCAGTTCCATGCCAGAGCTTTCAACTACTATCCAACTTTTTACCGTTACTTTTATTAAGCAAACATTGTCAAAACTATTAAGCGTATCCAGGATATATCAACCTGCTACAGTTTTTCAGATCTGTTTTTTACCAAAGAAAGAGGGTCCTTTTAACCTGCAGATACAACACAATTCAATTAAATTATTTTATCTGCAGTTGTACATGTGGAAAGTTCTCACTGTAGCTAAAGCAGCATCCTAAGCATTGTAATGAAGTTAAATTATCATTATTAAAAGCTTTAATCGGTGAAATTTCTTCACAAGTCACTATCCCAATTTACATGTATTAGTGATTATATACATTAAGAAAATTAAACTCATCTTACCAGTCGACAAGTCATACCAACAACACCTATTGGTGCCTGGGCTGATTGAGCTATATCAAAGAGGTTATACAGCAAAGTCTGATTCTTATGATGAACAAAAAGATCGAACTCATCCAATATGAATAGCACTGGACAGCTGTGGGCACGGTCACCTAAAATACAATTCAAATTGGTAAACAGAACTCTCAATGCAGTAAGTAAATTTTACAGTATGTGACAACACTTGAACATACTTTTAAATTAGCAGGTAGCCAAACCTCTATATAATGGTGGTATCATTTACAACTTTAACAAAAGTTATCATTCATTGATACAAACCACCTAACCATCCTCTTTCCCTCCTTTATTACCTCAAAACACAAAAACAGTCTCAAAAACGAACAATTTGAAATTATTTTAAGTCACCTTTATGCAAAATAATCAATACCATTGTGTTTACAATAAAACCAGCAGCACCAATTAAGAAAAGATAGAAAAATCCAACAGGGTTTTTCCTGAAGATTTGCAAAGAAGGGGCCTGAAAGCTCATTCCAGAGACAGTAAAAATTATCCTAACCACAACTACCACCTAAGCATCCTCAGTAAGTGCTAAGTCCAACAGTCCCAAGCTACACACTTGGCCCTTCAAGGAGAATGAAACCCCATCTAAAACTAGCTATTTTTTTTTTTTTTTTACTAACCAGACGGGCTGAGTTTCCTATCCACAGTGACTATGTTGCCTGGATTAACCAAAACTGCTTCTACATACTGGTAGCCCAATTTGAGCGCCTCCCTAGGATCATTAGATAGAACCAAGTAGTCAAGTTACCTACACACAGTTGACACTTCAACCAAACCTCTGAACAACTTCCCTAGTGGTATCCTATACATGAAGGATGTACAAACTTTTTGACGATGATGAGTTAAGGTCACAAGCATAAGGTCTTTCTTGGCGATAGCAGCAGTGAGGAAAGATGTCCAGCAGGATCTTGAGGGAAAAGAGTGGACTGCCTTATCACTGCATAAGTAGCTATATGAGGAAACTGGTCAGGCGGTGAGGGATTAGGTAGTGGTGGGAATTATCTTGGGGCCATGGGCTGTGCACCCCTGATGGAGCTGAAGAAAAGCCTTAATTACAAATCTTTAATTATTAACGTGTGCTTTCAAGATTTATTCTGTCTGTGTGTAGTAGGGTTGGACAAACCTTCTCAGAATCAGTCCCTCTAGCATCCAGCAAACCTCCTCTTGTGCTTAGCTTGGTCCCGCAAAGCGAGCCGACAAATTCCACTAACACTCATAGAGCCTCACTTGCTCAATATTCAATTAAATTATTCTGAAGAAGGTGATCAACCTTCTTCCCTGCTTGCTGCAGCCGGAGACGACAGCAAGAGCAGAAGCATGGCACCCTGAGTGGGTGCATGAGGTACCATTCCCAGCAGCCAACCTTCTTCCCCATTCACTACCAGTGATGGTGGTTGGTGCAGAAGAATGGTGCTGTGAGTGGATACCCACCTTCTTCTCTGCTCACTGCTGCCAGCGACAAGTAAGGAAGGAGGGCGCTGTTTAGGTAGTGCGTGGGGCTCAATTCCTGGTGAACGCTCCATGAATGCTGGGTACACTCGCCAGGAACTTGAACTCAGGGGTATTGCAAAGGGAATCAGAGTACAGGAAGCCAAGCCCAGGAAATCCAATAGATTCTCACCCAAAGATGGATTCCTCACACATTCCTCGTGTGCACAGGCGTGCATGCATTTATATATATCTGACCCTCTAATATTTTTTCAGATGCTCGACTGTCAAAAGGCACAGCATAAAGCAGATTATTGGCAAACTTTGATGACTTTATACAGTCTTTCCTAAAATATTTTCTTTCATAAAAATAAAGCATGTAAAACCTACTTTCCTTCACATCAACTTTATACTGGATCCATCACAGATTATATTTTTAAGTAATCAGGTTTCAATATTATTTTAACTTTCTTCTACCTGTTACCCTCGTAACTGACTTGCAAAGATTAGCCTGAGAATGTAACTGGCCCACAGCCAACCAGAAAACTTCATGACTAAATGGAGATGAATTAAATGATCCCCAGTTTGATAAAACCAACATGCAGGGTGAAATCTCACTGTTGATGCCCCTTTCAGTTTAGCCAACAGTGAAATTTAATTTTACGTAACTTAGAAGAAAACATTTTGGGGGTTTTTCTTACTACTGATTATACTGTCAAAATTAAGCATATTAGTAATGCTTATGATATCTGGAATTCACATATTACTTATCTAAAGCCTGAGTGGATCTTCAGTTTCCAAAAGGTAGGTCACAGAAAGCATTACATATTTCATCTTTTAATGCTGTGTGAAGCACTTCTTCCTGCGTTTCTCTAGTTCAGCTGCAATCTAATCTCTCTTCATCACAAACCCAATAATTTCCAATTAGTCACATAATTCTGTATCATCACTCCCCAAAATACAAGCCTACCTCTTTTTAATGCTTCCAGAAGAAATGTAAGGTTTTCTGCAAAACTACCCTAGAGAAAACAAAGTTTCAATGTTAGCTTAATGCAAAGTCAACTACCATTCAGAACTTCTTTTCTTTCAAAGTTTTTGCATGCCTACATGCTACAATTATACAGGCAATGCTGCACAACCCATGCAGCTAGAATATGAAAAATATGAATCTAAGCAAACTGGAAAATATAAAGCAAGCAATGGAATGATGAAGCACTGCAACAGCTGGACTAACCTCAGAAGGGAAGACTCATTGGAGAAGGCAATAATGTTAGTATGGTGGTGGCAGCAGAACTATGAAATGGATCAATTCCTTAAAGAAAGCTACAATTTTCTCCAAAAGCTGAACAGAAGAGCATGTTCATATGGTCACATTAAGTCAGAGATGACTTGATGTTACGTAACAGCAAAACATCACAAATTAAAAACAAGACCATCACACTATTTGATTTTTTAAATACATGGTTATAGTTAACATATACATGAGGCCCACTTTGAAAATCTAATACAATGCAGGCCAGATATACTTTTCATGCTAACTTTAAGAAAAACTTACAAAAACTTTATCTCCAACCACATTTTCCAGATTCAGCTGTCTTGTAATCTCCTTAAGAGCAATTTTATCATTTGTTTGTAATAGTCCTGGAAGAGAACAGAAATAGAGCATAATATTCTTGTTTGTCCTTTCTGCAAATGTGGGTTGATGCAAATGCCTATAAATAAAAGTATATATTTTATATTTATTTAAAAATAGCCATAGACAGAATAAATTTTAGACCTGCTATAAATGGGATGATTCTTTACATGCGCCTTCCATCATCCCTGCACACATACAGATCCTGTTTAGAACCACAGCTTGCAAATTGTGATTTGCAGACACTCTCCTAAAGAGAATTGCAAACCAGGACTTGATCATGATTTGCAATTCCTGGAAGGCAAGCAAAAGCCATAGTCTGTTATATTCAAATTAACAGCAAACTATAGCAATTGAATCTAAGTTGTGAAATGTGCTGGATCCTCTAAAACAAATTATACCACCCACTACAATAAATCTGCCCAAAGATAAGGTAGAGCTATGTTAAATGTACACGTACACTTGCATCAGTGCATAATGGGTGACTAATACTGGACACAGATTAGAGCAAAATTATAGGGCTCCATCAGACCCACATTCAGGAACATTACATTCAGTGACCAAATGCTGTGTAACTTACCATTTAAATGTACTTGTAAGATGTTATCCCTTATTTGCTTGTCTTCCGTGAGTCTTTTTAAGATGTGGTGTGTTAACTAGGAAGAAATAACTACCAATTAATATAAAACAAGGTTGATGCCATATTCTTACTATACACAGAATGGAAGTATTTTTTAATTTTTTAATTGACACTGAAGTATTTTTTAATTGACACTGAAGTGGTATGAGTTGCATTCCAGGAAACAAAAATGATACTTTTATTTGCAGATGTAATGCAGTGGAGGCTGCTGCTGGAGGAAGACAATTTTCATTCCCACCAAGCTACCTTCAGTGCTATTTTGAATGATGGCACAGATTCTTAGGGCACTACAAGAGGAAGAAGAAATCATCAAAAACATCATTTTTTCCCATCAGTAGGAGAATGCTCTAAAATGGAAAGCCCTCATGAAGTAAAAGACTTATTTTGATCCAAACAAATAATTGCCTATTTAGAATAAACTATTTTCGTGGCTTCAGATAGAATACATCAGGCAGTATCCAATGGGGCATTTCCACTAACATAAATTATGTTTTGCTACTGTAAACTACCTCTAGTGCAACTCTAATAGCATCAGCTGATGCCCTACTGGTATTGCACTACATGTAATTAACACTAGCCCAATGGAATTTATGCTAGCACTTGCACCTTGTACATACAATCCATGAAGTGGAATATAACATTTGTTGCAATTTTATAAAGATTGACAATTTATTTATAGCATGATAATTAAAACTGATGGCAAGAAGTAGAGAAGATATAAATATGAAGTAATCAGAAGATACCAATAGACTTTTCTTGAAGCTACAATGATATTCAGCTGGGAAAAAATGCCAGTCTCAAAAACAAATGGTTTAAAACCATGTATGATTTTGATTTTGCTTATTTGTTTAAAACAAAAGGATGAAAGGGGCAGGGCAAGGTAATACCAAAGGTCTGCCTTGTTCAAGCATGAGAGTCCCCACCATAGAGCCATGTATCATCATCCTCCTTGTCAGAAGGATACTGTGTAATTTTGTTCTGATGTTGTCTTACTTTAATTTTACTTGTAAGCCAGCTTGAAAGGATTTGCATACTAAAATGATGGGCTTTAAGTGAATAAAATAGAGTATCTAAGACATGTCAAAAATCATGCCAGATTTATAGATTAAAAGGTCAGTGAAATGAATCCCAGAAAATAGTTCTTTAATAACATCTACAAAATGTAGGTGTAAAGTAGTATAGAATAAAAGATATACACAAATTATTACAAAACTGATAAAATATATTTGTAAGCTAAAACATGCTAAGTATTTGAACAAATAATAACCAAAGAAACTAAATTAAGGTTAATGTAACAGTTATATGTACAAAAATGCACAGCCTACAGAATTTTGTTCGGGTTGCATAAGCAGTATGCACAGCCACATGTACAACTACAACTTTAATTGGAGTCTCCTCTTCCACATAATTCAGAGCCTAGTTTTCATCATTTGTGCTAAGGGAAAGACACAGTTGAATACTGTACAATATTTAAAATCTGAAAGAACTATTACCAAAGTCTTTCCTGATCCTCGAGGTCCAATAATGAGTACAGAGTTGCTTTCACCATGGAGAGCAGTACGTTTTAACAGCTCCAGTAAATCCCTGTGGGAGATTAAATACATTTAACTTAAATTCAGGGAGGAAATTCCCAGAAAAAAAAAATTCACTGATCAAATTTGTTCTCAGCCAGATAAAAAAATCTGCCCTTTGAAAAAACTTTAAAAATTACTACGTAAGTAACTAAAATACTGTTATATGCTGTAGTTGCTTGAAAATTCTAGACCTAGCTACCAAATCCATCGAAGAGGTCTAAGTTCTCCCATACTGGAAGAAATATTTTTTTCTCAATTTGGTTGATAATAATGATTAAAAGAAACCAAGGTGACAAAATGAAGCATAACATTCCAAAAGACCTCTGTCAGAGTAAATAGTTCTTATGACTTATAATCTGCTTTTTCGGAGCCTACCTTTCCTCACCCTCCCAGAATGCCCATTATATGACAACATAGCAAGGAATCAGTCAGTGTGATGCAGTGGTTAGCATCAGATTAGGCCTAGAAGACTCATCTTCAAAGTTCCACTTAATCCACGAGGGGAAGGGGAAATCTTTGAAAAATAGACTTCGTAGTCCAGGGGACCATTAAGCAGTTCTCTGAAAGAAAAATAAAAAGATATATTCTTACCGGTGCTGAAGCTTAGTCCCAAACAATTTTCCATTTGGACTTTGACAAAAAAATCTTTCACGTAATAGCCTTTGGACCTGTATACAGACAATTACAGAGATACTCAACATTAAAAACTAATTCAGCCAACTTAATTCAATTCTATAGGGCCTGATCAATTACGTTCTATAGGGCCTGATCTAATTCAATTCTATAGGGCCTGATTACAATTATGTTGTAATTCAAAAGGTATTTATTCAGAAAATGGTTATTTAGAAACATTTCAGTCATGTTTAAAGGAACACAGATGGATAGCATATCAGGCAAAATGTTGCCTATTGTGGAAAAACTACATATTATTATTTAACAATATTTATGAACTGCTTACATTTAAAGCAATTTCTAGGTGATAAAGAAAGCAGTACACTATAAAGCTATCATAAAGCAGTCTTTATTACAACTGTATACTAAACACAAGATAAACATAGAACTTATTGGAACAAATACGTTTTCAAAAGTCATCAAAACCCCAGAAGAGTTCATGTATTGATCTGTAATGGTAGAGAAGTCCAGGGAATGGGTGATATTAAAGGTTTAATGCTGAGACATATGGACTACAGCTCCAAATCTTAGGCACCACCAATATGGTAGCTCTTGATGAACACAGCAATCAGACAAGCAGGTAGGATATCGACTCATATCTTAAATAGCCTGGGCCAGCATTAAATGCTTCATAAACAAGCATTAAAATTTTAAACCTACTCCAGCACCATATACTCGTAGTTGGGAAGTGCAGATTTCACATGGTGGCAATAAACTGCTGGTGATAAACCATTTCCACTACAGCAATCTGCACAACCAACAACTCCTGGCCCAAAACTTAAGCACAGGTCCAGATAAGGTGCATTGCAGTAATCCAGTTTTGAATTTATCAATGCTTGGATCATAGTGTTCAAACTCTCTCATCCAGTAATTGCCATAATTGACTTAGCAGCTAAAGCTGGGAAAAAGTATGCCTGACCAGGGAAGACACCTATGCCCCCAGTGACCACCTCCTCTGACGGTGCACCTGCTTCTTCTGTGGGAATGTGAACTGATCCAGAACAGGTAACTGATCCAATTCCTAGACAAAGGAACAATTAATCCACAGAGCCTCTGTCTTTCAGGATTTAATTCAGTTTATCTGTACTTCCAGGTCATTACTACATCTAGAAATCAGTCCAAGGCTTACACAGGCTCCCCTTACACAGGAAATGGGTGCCATTACCTTGCCCTAGTAACTGCTCTGGGCAGCTTCATATAATGTTAACTAGCAGTGGTGGTAAAACAACATCCTAAGGCATCCAGAAGCTTAACACCAAGGAGCTGATGAGCATTACTTCAAAAAGACTGTGAAATCAACTCTACATAAGAGTGAGATCCCTTAAGAACAATGCATTGGATAATCACCTTTTGAAGTCAGTCCTTACAGTTAGGATAGTCAACTCTGAACAATACAGTAAGGGCGAGAGAGTAACAATTGACCCACCCCTTTCCAAATTACGGTAATCCATCCATTAGTTACATTTAATAAATTATAAATTACATTTGTAAATGTTCCAGTACTTTTTTAACGTCTTCTCAAATAAAAAGTTATTAAAGAAGTTACCAAATTATAACTGTTTCCCATATTTAAGACATATCATAAAATTACATTACTACCTTCGAGATACAATCTCTGCTTATATCATCCTTCAGCTTACGTTTACTCATTGTGATTCACAGCCTAGGAGAAGAGAGATTTTGTTATAACAGAGCTGTCTCATGCACTTGACTCATGAACTTTCAATTCATACTTCCTTGCTCAACATAGGGGTGCAGAGGAAACCTAAAAAATGTATGTCTATATCCCCCAAAATTAAGTTGTGGGCCCCAGAACCCAAATTACAGAACCCAACTACAAGATGCCTGCCTGGTAGTGCCCAGATATAAGCGTCATATCCAAGTAAGCACTCTGAACTATGATGCATACTTCATGTGAATTATATTCTTTCCTCATCCAATACATGCATGAAGACCTTCCAGCAGCAAGTGAGGCATGGGGCACTTCAAGGTGTACAATCCCTAATTTGTGCAGAAACAAAAACTCTGCATCAGATACAGTACTAAAGCATTTCACAAGGGACAGATTTCTGATATGATTTAGGGCAGCATTAAATATATTTTGGAGTATAAAATATATCCTCCCTCTCCCTCCCTCCCTCACACACACTTGATATATTACAAATTGCCACAGCCTAGTAAACACATTATAAATTATTATTTTCTACAAAACTAGTCTAACTCATTCAATATATAAGCAGAATATATATCAAAACTGTAAGTATATACCTGTAGTAGTTTATACTGTACAAATATCAAACAAAAACCTTCTATCATATTTAAAGTAATAGTGACTCATATGAAATAAGTCATATGGATTATTATTGAAGAATTTCTTGTTTCAAAAAGAAATAAGCTACTGTTTTCTGGAAACATTTTTCTGTTATCTAGTTTCCTATCTTAGTTAATTTAAGCATATATATTATGTTAACGGTGTGGGTTACAAATCCAGTAAATAAATAAATGAATAATACATTCATCAAGCAACAGATGATGACTGGTTTTCTTTCAAATATAGTGGTACCTTGGCTCACGAATGCCTCAGTTAACAACCAAATCAGGTCGTGAACAGAAATTTCATAAAAATTTCGCCACAGGATGTGAACTCTGCATCGGGTGATGATCACGAGCGTGCCTGCCTTCCCTGCACGGGTGCAATCATGGTCATACCAGGGAGGGGGGGAGATGGCTGCATTTGTGCTGGGGAGAGGAGCTGGCTGCAATTGACCCTGTGTTCCCTGCCTGAGTGCACCCACACCCACTGCCCCCTGTGCATCCGCCTCCCCACAGCATGCTTGACTGCTGGGAGGAGGGGGAATGGCCAAGATCTTTGTTGTTGTTTGTCACTTTGCTTCAAATTTTTGTGAGTAAAAAAAATAGTTGCAGAACGGATTAACCTTATTTACATTGACCCTTATGGGGAAATTTGACTTGGCTCACGACCAATTTTGGTCACAACCAGAGTCCTGGAACGGATTAAGTTCATGAGCCAAGGTACCACTGTATAAAGAATGGTCATGTCCTTCTGAGATGTTTTAACAATGATTAACATGAAGGCATTATGCATAATAAACATACGTGCCAATCTAAGGAGTTTTGACTTATGCAGGACACTACAGAACCATTTTCAGTTTATATAATTCCTTTAAAATTGATGAGGATATATTTTGTCAACTAAAAAATACAGATGGGATTCTGACCTCCCTTCCATGAACAGAGTTCCTTCCAGAGAGCTTTCTCACCTCCCCTTTTTCCAGCAGGCCTGTGTCTTCTGAAAAGCGAGTCCTGAAGGTTGGGAGATCCTTTTGAATAGTGTTGGATATTATACTGTGGAGAGTTGTGTAAATTGGTGAAACAACCAAGGAAGTTGGTGAAAAACGTGACTCCTCCACACAGTATTACTAACTCTGATTATTGTAGCAATAGGTATCCTAGCACTATGCTGCTTGTATTTAATCACATGTACAAAATTTTCCTGAACTTTACTAATATAACTCATACTGCTTAACTGTGAGCCTCAGTTACCCTAACTGTTCTCAGGGTAATAGATGTTAGCTCTAGAAAATGCTCAAAAGCATCTTTAAAATACTTTACTTATTGCAAATATCTTTCCTTCATTATCGCTGATGAAAACCTCAGCTGTTCATTTTTTATTTGTATGTTTTGTAAAGTTATTTGGCTCTTTGTTGTTGTTAGTTCCAAAGTTGCGTCCAACCCATCGTGACCCCATGGACAACATTCGTCCAGGCCTTCTTGACCTCCACCATTCCGGCATCATCTTTTTGCCTTTTGGTACTGTCCATGGGGTTTTCATGGCAAGGATACTGGACTGGGTTGCCATTTCCTTCTCCAGTGGATCACCTTTTGTCAGAGCTCTTCGCTATGACCTGTCCGTCTTGGGTGTCCCTGCATGGCATAGCTCATAGCTTCATTGAGCTACACAAGCCCCTTTGCCACAACAAGGCAGTGATCCATGAAGGGGTATTTGGCTCTTATGGTGCAGTAAACTCAACTGTATTAGAGGAGATCCCCTGCATACAAACAATTCAGATAGCTTCTTTACTTTGTTTTATATTACAGTCAATCTATTATAAAATTATTCCAATGCAAATTTCTAATGCAAACTGTCCACGGGTTAAATTTTCTCCCAGTTTCCATCTCACACAATGATAAGTTATAACATATGAACAATTCTCCTGGACTGCAGAAAGGCCACAATATATCTTTAAATTTCTAAGGCCTCAAAGTTCCAGTATTATAAGATTGTCATGTCTATCATACTCTTCTACCATAGCTTACTTAGACAATGGCAGCACCATATATTAAGGGTAGGAAACTTGTAGGTCAATAGAATGGGAGGGTCTCAGCTCCCATCTGCTCTAACCAATATAGCCAGCACATTGCCCACCTCACCTTAGATAGAACTTTATAAACTCAAGAGAGTAGGTCTGTGCATTTATAATTTTTAAGTGGTAGCAAGGTAGGACAAGCTTACACAACATATGTTGAAATAGTATTTTGATGGCAAAAAGGGTAACTATGTCTAAATGGCAGACTGAGATGAAGCCTCTAATCAAAAGTAATGTATACACAGTGTATGACACCCTTATATAATCCACAAGATGTCAATACTCAGGAACCCTATAATCCTACAATATGTTTGTTTTTAACTTTGCTTTTAATACTAAACAACTTCTTTAGTCAATCCATGGAAGAATCCAACACATCTGTAAACATATGGTAGAAGGGTACCCACACTCAAACAGTCCTTTCTGAGCGCTTTGCTTATAAGTTGTTTGATTATAACAGGACTGGTACAGAAGATTAAAAATGCTCATCTTCACAATACTGCTTCATAACAGCACTGATGTCAGTGAGACTGCTTTGAAGTAGAGCTGAGCTGCATCCAGTATCTTCAGCTAATCATATGTATCATTTTCCTTGTTGTCTTAACAGCTCTCAGCTTTCAGGGGAAAAAAACTTGGGGATGTAATTATGCATATTTATACAGAAAAAAAATCCTCTAAATTAAAAACAAAAAGCAATTTAAGTGCAAATCAGTAAAATCAGCAGGGACTTAGGACTCAAACCATTCCCATACCTACCAAGCCCAAATCTAGCCAAATTGCAGAAGGTGCAATTATTTTCTCTCATCACACCAAGCAACTCATGCAAACAATCGTGCTGGGCAAAATTATGCTTTCGGTGCAACTTTATAGATAGACTGAGCTGCACTGACATTACTATCTCTCATTCTCTCCAAGAATAATATAAAAAAAGTTTTAAAAGGGCCCTGCCAGGTCAGGGTTGTGCATCCCTGTTTCCCACAGTGGTCAGATGCCTATGAAAAGCCCACAAGGAGGATATGAGGACAACAGCCCACTCTCGCAATTGCTCCTCGGCAGGTGGCCTCTGATCCTGAAGACAGCACAGAGCCACTATGACTGGTAGCCACTCACAACCTTCTCCGCAGGAACCGGTCTAAACCTTTTATTATAAAGACCTCTAAGTTGCCCATGGTGCAGCAAATTCCAGAGTTTTAACTATTCACCTACCGGACAGCCATGAGAAAGATGGGCAACCCGTGAACCGTCTCTCTCCGCCAGGGCGAACGCGCCTCACCGGCAGGGCGAGAGAAGAGAAAAGAAGAGAAGAGGGGGGACATACGCCCAGCCCCCGCGGTGCCCTGCAACTGCCCCGGAAGCCCGCACTCCCGCTCGAGAGTGAGGAATCTGAGAGGTTAAAGCCAACAAAGCAACGATAATTCGAACTCAAGGCCACATCGCCCGCTTCCAGCCCCGTGCGGCCACTTACCTACTTCCTCCGTTCCCCAGTAGCAGGTCGGCGAGATCTCGAGCGCGCCCTCCGCGCCATCCTTTCTCCGTCAAACCCTCCCAGAAGCCGCCGCGCGGTACTCCGCCACGTGACTACGTGCGCGCGCGGAAGCATTTACGCACGCATATACACACCAACACCGCCTTCTCGTCGCGTGCCTCCTCGAGACTCTCCTCCCCTTTGCCTCCACCCATTTGCTTACTTCCGCTTTACCTTCCGATTTCCCCTCCCACAACTTCCGGCCCCCTTTCTTCCATCTTTGCGGAATCCTTTTCCGGGTTCGCTCGCAGCGCGGGGCATTGTGGGAGGCAACCTTTTTTCCTCCCCCTCCTTCAACCCAGCAAGCTCCCAGGGGCGCATGCGCAGTGACAGCCTCCCATCTTTCTCCCAGCCAGAACCAGAGCCTCAGCAGCAGCTGATGATGAAGAAGAGAGGGAAGGGGGAGACTGGGGGGACCTTTTATTTATATTGTTAAAGGGACAGAGCACTAATTCCACCTTGAATTGGTTTGCGGGGAGGGCTTGGCCTGAGGAGACTGAGTTTCTCCCCCACCCTCAGCCTAGCTAGAGGATCCCAGAGAGATACAGTGAGAGCAGGAGAGTTTCTTCCCCCGCTTTGGCCGTCAGAGGAGAGAGAAAAGAGACCAAAAGCCTCTTAGCAACACAGCCCCGTCTCCTTCTCCACTACTATTGCTGCTGCTGCTGCTTTTTGGCCCTGGCTGGAGACACCTCACCACACACACAGAAGGAGCAGCCGCCAGTTCACCAGCTCCCCCCCATCCCCCTACTCTCCCCTCCTCCCCCTTTATTACCCTTTGTGTGTGTCTCTCTCTCCACTGCTCCAGGAAAGGAAATAAAAGTGGGGTGCAGCCAAGGTAAGCCTATCTATGTATGGGAAAGGGAGGTAAGGCAAGCAATGCCTTCTCCTACTCCACAATTTCACTCTGAGGCAAACAGATCTGGATAGGGGGAGGTGTTTGCTCTCTTGATTCTGGCTTTTGATGTATCAAAATAGGTCTTTGATACTTTTGAGCACAGATGCAGTTTGATTGTTTCCTGCTTAGAAAAGTGGTAGTTTTATTTCTAATTTTAAAATATTCAGGGATGCAGATCAAAAAGTGTCAGCACTGTGTTTTATTCTAAGTAACATAGAACATATGTCCACCAATTTTTTTGCTACCTAGTTGGATATTGGGAAATCTCTTAGTCTGTTCTGTGCTTGGTTTTTTGTTTGTGTTTGTTTTCTGTTCCTTGGTATGTAGTCTAGTGTCAGAATTGTTTGGGTTTGGCAATTTTTACAAGTATTGATGCTTTGCTTCTTGTGTACAGAAAAGTCTTTAAAACTTCTATTCAATGTTTTTATCTAAGGATTTTACCAGTTTTTACTGTTGGTTGTCTTGGGAAGTTTCTATACTATGTAGAGAGACAGATGTATCAAAATAGGTCTTTGAAAAGGATTTCCTTGGATATTCGCTCTGGAATGTATCATTGGCAATATGAAATTGAAATTTTTTTCTCCTTTCATGCCTCTATTTCTGTATATACTTTTTTTCAAGTCATGTCACTTTAAGTCCTGAACTTCCAAACATTATTATGCTTACTATTAAACAGAATAATCTATTTTTTTTAGAATGTTACAGGATCTGGGACTAATTAATATTATATGGAGTACTAAATCTCAATTTATATAGTGCCACCAATTGAGCTTCTGTTAAGTACTCTTGTCTGTTTTTATTAAGTAGTTAAGAATCAAACTTATTTAGAGGGGCCAATATTTACATGATCTTTAAAATCTCAGTACAATTCTATAATAGTCTAATGCACAATTCCCATTGATATGGAGGAGTACTTCTTTTTTAGATTTCATCTTAACCAATTTAAAGTCTGGATTTGGATTTTAGTTTCAAAAGTGGAGAAGAAACTTGAAAAATAAGTTAACTGTTACAAGTTATACTTGGTACACCTTGGGTGTCTCTTTTGTGAGATTATTGCATGTATATTTTATTCTGAAATAGTTTGTTTAAAGTAAGAGGATATTGTGCTGTCAGATTACTAAAGCTTACAAGGTGTGTTTGAACTGTGATATGTGCACAGATGGCCTATGCATTTCAATAGGCCTAGGGAATCTAACCAAAGTGAAATGCAGCTTAATATGCACTACTTTCTTACTCTGATATTTGAAGTGAAGGCAAGAAATAATTCTTGAATCTTGAATACTGTTTCTAATAAAATAATTCATCAGTAAATCTATCTCTTATAGTTCTATTGGCAACATAAAATAAGGATTTCTTTTTCCATATTGGTAGAAAAGACTTAGAGTACTAGGACACACATTGTAGAAAAGCTCTACATTTGAAGAAATGTTTTTCTTCAGTATTCACATTTTGAAAGGTAACTTGTTCTTTGATGGATAAAAAACAATAACAATGATGCCTGGAGTAATATTCCCTTTATGGGTGTTTTTAGGCTTCAGAAAAAAACTTGATACTTTCAAATTCAAGTTAGTTTTAGGCTTTAGGATACCATTTGTTCATAATCTATTTTAAAAGTTCGGGGTTTTTTTTGGTTCAGGTATATTACACATATGGCAAAACTTGAATTGGGATCACAAGTATATTGTATTATTGGGCTAATGAATATTAAAGTATAGAGGCAGTTAGTTTTGTTTCTAAAATGAATAATTTTAAGGACAGATAAATATAAGTTGTTAATTGTTCAGTGCATAGTAGAATTCTATCTTTTGATTATAGTGATTTACATTTTAATTCATGTTTGACATTTGTATGGAATTAATTTAATAACTAAGGTTACAGTCCTACCCATGGTTCTTTGCGTCAAATGGAACTTATTTCATCAATTTTCATTCCAAGTGAATGTGTTTACAATCAGGGTTTAATACTGCAAGCCTGTGTATGCATTTTTGAGAATAGGCCTCACTGAACTCCACAGAATGTTTTGCAAAGTAAACAATATAGAATAAGGCTGAAGGATAGATGTTTGCAAACAATTATAGTCGTTTCATTTTGAGCTGTTAAGTAGATCTAAATAGTTGACTTTAGCTTATGGGTAGGCCTTTACAAACCTAGAGCATTATTAATTTCAAGTCTATATTGTATGTTCCTCTGAAACAGTGCAATGAATGCAGGAATACATATTTTTTTTAGAGATAAATCCTTCAAACTGTGTCAGAGTATATGTGCAGGCTAGAGAAGGATTCTAGCTCAGGATTAGAGGACCTTCTTTGCATGTAAATGTTCTCAGGTTCAATCCCTGGCATTTCCAGGTAGTCTGGGGAATAGGCTATTTACACTTGTGTAAGGTTCTATTTGGGGAAGGAGTCTGCCTGTTTGAGAACCTCTGAGAAAGAATTATATTAGGTAGGCATGAAGAGAACTTGGAAACCATCTAAGGCTTCATCTCTATAATAAATGTTGTTGTTATAACAATAAAATGATTTAAGAAACTCTTTATCACACCTCCTCCTGCTGTCTTTGAAATTCTTCTTGGATGTGATAATAGTCTTTAAACCATGTAATCCAGCATACCTACAACTAGGACTGCATAATAATCATGTTTTAAAGATTGTGTAGTAAGACTTATTGCTGTTGGTATCAAAACCGATCAAAACATCTCTCTCAAACTGATCCAGAATACTTGAACAGTCAGATATGGGGCAGTTGATTCTTACATGTATTTAAAAAGGTGTAACATCCACTGGCATCAGTGGTATTTACTTATAAGTAAATATGGTGAGCATTTGGCTGCTCAAGATTATGCAAGTGTGTTTGTTTCTGTTTTTTTGTGTATAATCTTTAGGCTTTTAAGCAGGTCAGTTTTCAAACAGCCCAGCTCAACTATCAGTTTGTCATTAAATTGTTCCTGTAAGACCTTTGTATTTTATTTATAACCTGCTTTTCTCTCTTAAAAGAACTCAAGGTGGTTTACTTAACCCTACTCCTCTTAAGCTTGTCCTCACAACAACCTGTGAAGTAGGATAGGTTGAGAACCGGTGACTGGCCCCAAATCACCTATAGCCAAGTGACAACTAGAACCCAGCAGCTGCAGAGTTGCACTAGTTTTGCACTCAAATGTTTGAAGTTCAGCTGCACCTAACATCAAAAGTGGGCCAAAGTCATTTTTTAAAAGAATGAGCAGTTCTTGGGCAGTCTTGTCTCCATGATTTTGTTCACATGTGCCTCACGGGTGTCTCTTTAAAGTTTTAATTATTAAGCACCAGTGAGCACATTTGGTATTCTTGAAGCTTATTGGTTTTATAGGATGCTTACTTGTTGATTATTCCCATAGACTAAAACTAATTTGTGAGTTCCTTGTGTCATTCATACAATAGAAAAGGTAAGTAGCCATTCGTTAATGGTACTGTCCTTAAATCTTTTGATAATATTGTATGAACAGCATCAAATAATGTGATAACAGTGTTGATGCAAGAACACTTCATAAATGATCATTTTAATTCATAAATGTGGTATCTACAGTTTACTTTTATTAATTAATCTAATATTGATAGGCAGATTAGCTTCGTGGGTATCTGGCAATCATTTGTTCATGTTTTCTAGCAAAAATACTCTGTTGCATTTACCAAACAGTATAGTAAGCAAGTCATAGAGAGCTGTACTTAAGGCAGTGTTGTGGCTGCCTTGGCCATATTTGTTGTTGTTGATGATGATGATGCATTGTTGAAATTCAGAAGGTAAACAAGGACTGCACTTGCCTACTTTTAGAAACAAGCCCTGCCATTTCCATGTGTCCAGTTCTTCTACTCTCTGATTGTAATCATTGCTAACTTTTTGGGAAGAAGGGTTCTGTCTGTTTCAGTGGTCAGTGGTGATTAATCATTGCATCAGCTAGAGTCATGTCTGAATTTTGAAAACTGTTTTTGCCATACTATTTATTGTTTAACATTTGTTTTTAAACTAATTTGAAACTGTGTGTTTCATCTATTGAAATAAATGCCTAAGCCTTTTTGTATACTTAAATTATTCCTGTAAGGGACATTCAGGAAGTGGAATGTCTCCGTCCCTGGAACCAGAAATTAGAACATTAATCTTTAACTGAAAATTGGAGCTCTATCCCAACTCTGTTCAGTCTTCATCTAGGAAACAAATGCAAGCAGTGGTCCATCAAATGCATTTATCAATTTATGTACTGTTTAGAAGGCATTCAAGGTCAGGAATTTTCTGGCCTGCACAGACCTCACAGTCATGCTTTCTTAATTGATCTTCTCATTCTACAGAAGATTCCTTAACTTTGCTTGAAACAAATAATGTATTTGTTGAGTGCTTCTATTTATTCTTGTCTCAATTTCTCAAGTGTCCAGTCTTAGGAACTTAATAGTTCATATTTTCTCAGGGCAATTACCTCTACACCTAGGTTGGTGGCCTCAAGTCAAAGCCTCTGCCTTGGTAGCAGGTTCCAGATTGTGCAGCTAGGGATGATCAACTTTCCAAAGAGCTTCTTTCATTCCTTTCAGATCCCTGACACATCAGCACATCAATAAATAGCTTCAACCAGGTTTTTTTTTAATGAGGTCATATGTTGAATCTTCTACAATTGCTGCATAAGGCTAGATCCAGTAAGTGGGTGAGTCTGCTGGATCTAGTTCAACTTTTGAGTACCATGGTGTGGATCTGAGAGTAATTCCTTGTGCAAGATTCCATGTGTGCCCCCTTCATATCTACCTCCCTTGTTACCAAACTCAGATTTTTCAAAGGTTTTAGTTATTGGATTGATTTCCAGAAACATTCTCTGTTTTATTCAGTCGCTGAAATTCCTTAGAAGATATCTGGCTAGGGGAGGAGAACATCAGAATATGTGGCTTCAGTCCTTCCTCTCGCAGTGTCCCACCTTCGCTGTGGGCAAAAATGTTCAGACTATCCTAAGTACATTTCTTCTGGTCAAGTATCATTAGTTCTCCAGTAAATAAAGTTCCATGGCTTCCTCATTGGTCTCCCTTATTACAGTATGGATGAGTTTTTCATCCAACGTTGACTTGCTACAATAAGGAAAAAATTAGTGATGTGGTATGAGTTGGATAATGTCAGAGTGAAGACATGAGTATTTATCAGATGTTTAAATGAAGAACTACAAGGAACTAGATAGATTCCAGGAGTTGTGAGTTGTGATGATAGAAGAGCTCTACGAGGGAAATCAACAGAATGCAAAGTATAATTAAGAAGTATAAAATCCAAGCATATCAGGAATATAAGGAAAGGATGTGTAATGATACAGGTTTTCTGGAAAAAATTGAATTGGATTACTTTTGGCTAAACTTCTTATGCAGTTTAGGGCAACTCAACTGTTGATGATATGCTGGCAACCAGTCATATGCAACTTTGAAACTGTTAAATTTGCCAGATACTGTATTTGAAATTGGCAACCATCACTTGTTATTAATAAACTTAAGAAATGGAAATGTTTTCACATGAAAAACAAAGCTTGGAAAAGAATTTTTAAAATTTCCAATCTCATATCATTGAAGTCAAGTGTAAAACAATATGTTTATTGTTTAATCTGAAGATCATTGCAAATGCTATTATACAATTTTAAATGAAATAAAATACAACACTATAATGCCATTTCTTTACAGAAATTTAATTAAAATCTGGTGGGTAGGCATCAATAATATGGCATATCACATATAAGACCTTTAGTATCACATCAGCCCCCTTACTTTCATATCTCTAAATCTTAATAACTTCATTCCAATAGAATCCAAAAATGTTGCTCTATATCTAAGTCATGGGAAGAGATAATAGATAAGTGAGAGCAAGAGAATGGGCATTTCAAAGGAAATAAAATTAAGTAAAAGAAAAGAAATGTGAGATAATTAAGATGGAAGACAAATGCAGTCATAACAAATGGAATATATTAAGTGAGCTGAAGCATTCATGGCAGATATTTGAAAGATGGAGGACTGAATGATGGTGAGAATAATTAACATTGATTCCTTGCTACTGTTGTATATGGGAACATATCTGTATATACTAATAGCAAATTAGTTATCTAAGTATATATCTATATGTAGTCCAAATTGAACGAGCCTTGCACAAGAGAGAGGTATAAGTAAGTTTAAGGGCTCCAAACATTTGCAGACGTCTGGAGAGAGAGATGGGGGACAAGCCAATGGATTTTACTCATTTTAGTCTGTAAATGTTAAATATAATCCCTTCTGAAAGCAACTAGACTGGAACTTGACATAGTTTTTTTTTGTCTTTATATATGGATACAGGTGTTACAGTCCTACCAAGAAGTGTAGGGCAGAGACTCAAAAATGCCCAGTGGAGACTCATTGTGCTCACTTGCTACAGAATGATGATTAATTGTCAGAAATATGAACAGAAAATAAAGTGGAGGGAATAGAATGCAATATCTTTAAACAAGACATGGCCAAGTGAAGCCCTGAATGGGACCATGTCATGCTGCAAGGTTTTGTTGCTGGTCCCATTTGTATGTCTTCCAGACATTCATTATGCAAGATGATAAGGATTATCATTTGAGGGTTAGAACTAAAGGCCCCTCCTCCTGCAAACTAAAAAGCAGAAGAAACCTCAGTGGAGAAGACCATATGTTATTTAGTTATTTAGTATTCTAGTCTAACAATGGGTGTCAGTGTATTTCTGGAAGCTCACAAGCAAGGCATGAGGATGATATCTATCTCCTGTCCACTTCCTCCACTAACAAACACCAATATGTTCTCAGTATTTGTCCAAACCTTACCTCTGTCTTAAAAGTAGAATATCTTATGTGAAGCCACCTGTTGTGGGAACAAAAGGGCAGGGTTGGAGAGAGTTTCTCCCAACTTTGCTACACATGCACAAAAATAAGAGTTCAGAAAACCAATAACTGGTGAATATGTGCTATTCCTATTTTGTTCATGGAACATCTTGGGTAGTGGGGTGCAGCTTATATCCTTGAACCTTTAGCAGCTCAGTGCTAATATTTGAAGAGATGCAAATGACTTGTCCAAAGGGAATGCTTGTTCTTGCACTACTAAATGCAAGGTAAGATAGCACAGGCCTTTCAGTGGCACTGTGCGGCGCTTGTCCCTTTCCCCTAACAAGACATCCCCATACCTTAGGAACTAACAGATAATTACTTTTTTGTCTTTTAAAAAATTTAAGAGCAATAATTCACCTGTTTATGATAGTGAATTAGTTGATTGTATGTTTGATAAATAAGTTTTACTGTTACTCCTGAGCAAACTTAGTAAAGTTTGTTTGATAATTCAGTGCACTTAATGTTAAGAGGGGAAAAAACTATTATTAGTACTTTCCAGTCAGTTCATAGTTATATAAACCTTTCTCTGGTTCCTATAAACTAAGCCTCAATGATAACTCCTGTCAAGGTTCCCCTTATAAGCTAAAAAGTCCTAAATGCATTTGCCTTTTCTTTTTAGACTCTCCATCCATTAGGTCCTTTTAGCCCATCTTTTAGACCTTTTCCAGTTCTATGATACTCTTTTTAAAATGAGACAACCAGAATTCTATGCAATATTACAATGTATGTTCTCATACATTAACATTATGGCATTAGGTTACTTAAGTTGTTGACCATCCCTTTCATAATACCTTGTGTTGAACTCGTAGTTTTCACTACTACAGTTTCATGATTTTTCTGTAAGGTACCTACCATAATCCTAAGAATCATGGCATGAAACTTGAGCCTCTTTTTAAGAGTTGTCGTTGTTGTTCTTTACTTAAATGAGGAATTTACATTAATTGACCCCACACCAAGTTTACACTTAACAGTGGTAGTTAGAATAATATTTTATCAAATTAAAGGGGATTTATTAGGGAAAAAAACCCTGGCATTGCTATTTATTTCTTAAAGTGGAGAATTGTGCATATTGCATATGACTTAAACAATTTTTTACTAATATTTCTAACATTTTGATTCACTTCACCAGAGGTATCTCCAAATAGTTATTCATACTTGTCTCCTTTGAAATATTAGAACATGCAAAATATAAACTAAAGTCACTTTTAAATTAAACAATTGGTGAGAGATCCAAGTTCTTATGTTTGTTAGCTGCTTTGCTTGCTTGCCCTATATAGACAAATACAAGACTATAGGGTATTAATTTGCTAAGGAGTTGTTCAGTGTTAGCCCAGTGTTGATTTGGTACTTCTTTGAAACTGCATTAGTCTTTCTTGGGGAAGATTCTGATAGAACTGTTAGAAAATACACTTTTTAAGGCAGGGAAACTTCCTATATACATAGAAATTTTATTGACATAAATATCTGCTTGTGGAGGATCTTGATGGGGTTCGGTAGAGAACTACTTTATCTCCCCAGCCACCTAAGATAGGTCTTGCAGTGAGGATTGTGAGTTTTGTGCATGCTTCCTATGATATACCTACTTGTTCTCCCATGTCTGCCCGGTGCTGTGTTGGTTTGGTGCACGCAGTCTTAGCATTTCCCTCTTTACCCATTATGCTTGTGTGTGTGTGTGTGCGCGCGCGTGCATATCAAGGATTTGTTGTGTGCCCTACTACCAAGACAGGCTAGGTTGGTAAGCACTCGGAACAGTGCTATTACTATAGCAGTGCCTGAGTTGTAGAGTTCCTTCCCTGATTTCCTCTCTTCTTAGCATTAACTAATCTGTAAACATTTGTTTAGCTTGGTTTTTGATGGCTTTTAAACTCTGTTCTTATACTTGTTCTTGTTGTTTTTCTGAGCTATTTTTAATGAATAGTAGAGTAGATAATATTGTTTAAAAGGATATTTTAATTTAAATTGGATTTAAAAAAAAATAAAAATTAGGTAAAAAATCTATCTAAAAATAGTTTCCTGTTTAAGATACATTATAGTCCAAACACTATTCATCATGAAATAATGATTAGCTTTTAATTAGGTAGCATGAGGCTGAATATTCATGCAATGTTTACATTTTTTGGTAAATGAATTCTATATATCAGTTCACAATGTCATGCTCTTCCAGAGGTTTCTGTAGGATTATTGAGCATTTTTTCTATCTAGAAGATGTTATCACAGATGCTTGGTTTTACAGTTCTCAAAACTGTGAATTTGTGTCTGCAGAGATCACGTGCTGCCTCTGCACAGCAAAAAATGGTATAAAATAAACACACAGAGCTAAGAAAAAGACCTTAATCCCATTGTTCCTTTGCAAATCTTTCTACACAGTATCAACCCTTTACCTCTTAAGGAAGCAGTTTCAAAAAATTCAATGAAGAGAAGATGATTGTTGGGAGCAGAAGAGATCTGTTCAAGAACCTAAGTGTGAGGAGGAAGGAGCAAAAATGAAAGTGAAGTTTTGGATATTTTTGTGAATATCTTGAGGTTTATCGTATTATTCTTTCCCTATTCCTATGATGGCAGCAGACTGTAAAAGAGACTAAGTTTGGGAATATTTTAATGACGTTTCTCCACTGACAGGTAAGGTATGGATGCATACATGCAAATTATTTAGAAAACCATGATTTTATTCTAGTCTTACTGACCAGGGATTTAAATAGTGATTTAAATCAAATCCACCCTGATCAATAGTAGTGATGTCTATTACTGTGTTTTAAATCGTGTATCTCTTTGGGTCTGAAAGTCCAGTCAAAGGTACTTTACTAATAAAGGCTGTTAGTTAAGTCACTGTCCTCCATAACTCATGCATATGGTTTTGGTGCAGTTATGCTTCTGGTTTTTAAACCTGGCCCAAAGCAACAGGAAGAAAATCATGGCATTGCCATGATTTTTTTTCAAATCCCAAATGTGCTGAACTTACGGATTTAATGCAATGAATTAATAGATATTCTTACAACGTGGCACTTGCATTGCACAGATGCTGCAGGGCTCTCTCATTTTCCCAGCATTCAGTTCTGTATATTTCATGTCTTCATTTGCCTAGAGAATGAGTTCATGATTATAGAATATATTTTTATAAATTTCACAATATCTTTAAGGTGTACACTGTGACCTAGTTCTGAATAACTAGTTAATCCACAGCTTGTTAACTATATGGTGTTTGTTAAGCATTTTGTTTAACAACCCAGCCACATACCTGGTTGTTCACTGTGACATATGAAGCTGGCATTGTGGGTGTTGAGAGGGAAACAACCGAGAGTTTTAACCTAGAATTCCAGTTTCAGATGTCATGGAAAACAATTTAGGAGTGTTGTGTTCCAGGATTTCCCAGCAAACCAGAATTGAGTGTTTGGTGGCTAACATGCTAGCTTACTCCTAAGCATTCACAAACAACCTGTGAAGATGGGGCCAACTTTTGAACAATGCAGCATTCTCAGCCAGAGAGTTCAGATTTGGAATGAGAGATAAATGGAATAGAAGGGGAGAAAGAATTGGCAGGCAAGATTAGTCAGGCAGTAACTGAGAACCAAACCATCTTGAAGCATGAAGGTGACACTGTAGAACAAGGAAGGGGAAGAGAACGAATTCTGAGACCCAGGAAAGCAGTGCCCGCCCAAATGGATGGACCAGTTTTATAACGTCATATGCTCCTACCGTTAAACAGACATGCAGTGTAAACCATCCTGAGGGTGGTGTCAAGATCTCATGAAAAGGGAGGACAGGGGCATTTCTGTTTCGAAACAACTCTTCACATGGGCGAAGCTAGTTTTATACATTAGAGGGGTCATTATTTTGATTTATCTAACTTGTTAACAGTTTTCATGGAAAATACTCAAATGCAGCAGAACTTGTTAAGCTATAACAAATGACTGTATCTTATAAGCTTTTTGGTTTAATCTGCCAGATAAGAAAAAGTGGGAGAATGTGTTCACAACACAACCTATGGGCTGTTAAGTGGTATACATGTATATACAAAACCTATAATTTTGTAAATCCTACAAAACTTTTGGTGAGTAACTGAACTGTTACTATTTTGTGGTGTTTTATTTAACCCTTAAATCCAGTGGCTGAGTTCACACCAGATGATAATGCACAGTCAAGGTTGGATATGGGTTACTGTTGAAACGTTGGCTGTTGTTCAGACATAGGATATTATGTTGTATGAATGTAGCCACTGTAATTAAACATAGTTTGTTAAACATGAGCAACCAGTGAAGAGTACCCATAGTTTATTACTGGGTTTTAACAAACCATGCTTTGTTGTTTTGGCCTGGTTCACAAATAGAGCAAGTGATGGTTCAACATACTCATTAAACTCATATTGAACCTTGAGTGTGAGTTAGCATGTTGTACAAACTTAGTCTGAGTGTATAACATCAACATATACCTGGTACCTTCAATACAGCAAAAATAAAAGATGAATGGCAGGCCTATATGCAAAATGTCATGCATAGCAAATGCATCTTGGTATTAATTTTATTTAATTTTGCTTTGCAATTCTTTGTGCTAACAATCTCATACAATGGTAGTTCCAGGGTTTTGAGGGCCCTAGGGCAATGATGTTAGTTTTACAGAAAATTTTGAACTATAACTTTCTTATGCAAATTAAGATAACTTTCACAGAGCTATTTGAATGAGAAATTTTTCAGTTTGCATTATAAAATTTTTTGTCTAAATTATAGTGATCTAATTTAGAATGTTTATTTTACTTATATCTAGTAAATAACAAAACTAAAAATTATCCTATGGCAATGTTTGTCTTAATATATCATAAGTTTTTGAACTGAAAATGTTTAAAGAAATAATTACAACATGCTTAATATGATCTAATTATGATATTATTTCAACATTTTCATTGTAAAGCTTGTAATCATTTAGACCAGGGTTTTCAACCTTTCCACAGCTGGGAACCAGCGAAAACAGGAAAACCACCTGAGGCAGAAACAAAAGGCACCATAAACATAATACAGTATTCTGTGTACTAGTTTCCAAACACAATACCAAAAAGAGAAAAAAAAAGATATTTCTCCAAAACAACCAGAAACTGAGTAACACAAAATGCCAACAAAAGAACAAAATACTGAAATTGGTGTAGCGTAGCTTGCAGCCAACTCCCATTGAGCCATCTCTCCTCTCCCTAGCCCTGCTGGAGGCGCCAGCACACCCACTGCGAACATGATGCCGACCAAGGGAGAGGTGGTAGAGCACAACCAGCCCCCACATCAGTCCGCTGTGAGTGGGATGCAGCCCTCCCATGGACTGTCATGAAATCTTCCACAGATCAGCACCAGTTCACAGACTGGGGGTTGAAAACCATTGATTTAGACACTAGCATGTATTTATCTTACCTTGTTTAAATATAAGAAAAAATAAAAGGAGATGTACGGAAAACTGGGTTTCACTCTGAAACATAGATGTATTTCAACTTCCTATATGAATCCTCTCAGATAGATTAACTAAAATAATTTATTATTTTGAAATCACCAAGCTTGCCTAATATTGTATTTGGAATTGGTAGCCATTCATTGTTGCTATTAATTAACTTATGAAATTGAAAAAAAAATCTGCCTAAGTAAGTGTCTACATTCTCAGTGCTCTCCTCTCCTAATGCACCTGTCTACTGATACTACTGTACAGCTTTTTTATGAATTAATGCTTTAGAATAGTAAATTGTTTAAAAGCATCAGAAAGTTGATATTAACACCGCACAACAATGGAAAACACATTTCAGCTTTTCTCCAAAGATATAGATTGCCATTATACCATTTGACTGTAGCAAACAATAATTTCTTCAGGAGATGCTTGACAAATCAACTATAGGGTAGGGCTTTGAAATCTCAAAACATCATCTCATGCTTTACCTGGTCCTGCAAAGCAAATGGAACCACGAGGAAGTATGTGACTTCTTGTGGACTCCCGGTTATGCAACCCACAAGAAACTTTCACTGGCTACCATTCCAAGTGTCCAGCCTTTTCCTCTGATCAGTACTGCCACCAACGTGGGTGCATAGTGAAAATGGACACAGTGAGCAGGTAAACCAGCTGCCATTCCTGGTGGCCAACCATCTTCCTAACACACTGGTGCTGGCTTGATTGCTGCTGAGCACCACATGAACTTTGGGTATTCTCACCAGACTGCGTCTCTGCAAAGTGGGTAGGAGTCTGTGAAGCCAAAACGAAGAAATCTGGCAGATTTTCAGCACAAGATGGATTCTGTGCACATCCCTAGTCAGCTATTCAGGTTATCTTGCATTTTATTGGTATATGTGGGCAAGTGGTTAGGGAATATAAGTGGTTTGTTAATTGCTCAGTAATCCTATTGTGATAACAAATGACCTGAGGTGGGAGGAATTTTACATGCATAACAAATTGTGGCATCCCTTGTTATTGATCTGTAAACAGAGCATCTTCTTGAAGAATGAATACATGAACATGGTCTAATTTCTAGATGTCATTGGAACATAGATTGACAACACTGGGTATCTCCCAGTATAAATCAACTCTAAAATTTTTTGATTTCCATAATGTACAAGAACTTGGAATTTCAGAATAATGTTCTAAAATTCATCCTGCAATTCATATGGATTGTTTTTAAAAGACTAAGAATATTGGAAGTGATGACAAGTAGAGGGTACACATTTAAATCCAAGTAATATTCAAATCTACCTTTTTAACCCAGTTAATTTTCTAATGACTCGGCTCTTTAAGTCTCTCTTTTTTTAAACTTAGAGTAAAATTATAACTTCATCCTTAGAGTTTTTATTCTTAAGTAGTGAAAAATAGGTGACAAAGCTAGAGCAGCTGTCAAAATCTGTGCAACAATTCTTGCCGAGTAAAATGGGCATAGTAGTAGAATTTAGGTAAAGTGTTTGTATTAAGGTTGTTGCATGTTATTAAATCATACAACACAGTGTGGGCGAGAAAATAAAAGGTATAGTATACATATTCAGATTAAATTAACAAATGTCAAAATGTCTGAATGTTTTCTTTGTTTTGATTTTGAAGTATTTTTATTTCTACACCAACGAATAGCTGAGACTTTCTGAACACTTTACAACAACAATTCATAAAATACAATAAAATACGGTATAAAGTGCATATAGTAATTTTGGAAAAATTGTAAAATTTCACTACAGAAATGTAAATAGCTCAAGTGAAATAACTTAAATAATTAAGACTTGAAATTTGAGTGTGCATGTTTGGCCTTCAATATAAATAAAGTGCATGAGATACATGAATCAGTATTATAAGAGTAACCTCATGGTAGCAATAGAGACCAACATTTTAAATTGTAATGACCAAACTTTCAAGTTTTCCCAAACCAGAAGATGTCTCTTCCTGATCTAAACAAATAGATTTTCTGAAAACTATAGGGCTAGATCCAATCAAACCATTCTGCTGTTGAATCTGCTTCCTCCGTCACAGTCCCTCCCCCATTTTCTAAAAATTTGCTCTGGAGAACTGGGAAATCCCTGAACATACTGTGATGGTATGCCGAGAGTTGCAGAATGGAGGCAAGCCGTGTTGTGGTATGGTAATTCTTATGTACAGTGGTACCTCAGCTCACAAACAAATTGGGTCACGAACAAAAATTTCATGAAATTTTGACTTGGGTTGTGAACTCCACATTGGATCTCCACCCCCTGAATGGGGAGATGGCCACAATTGCAGTTGTGTTCGTGCAGGGAAGATGCACACAATCTTGGCCACCCCCCCAACCAGCACTATTGTGGCCATCTCTCCACTCCCCCGATCACGGCTTTGCTGTGCCTGTCTTTCCTACAGGATCGTGCCCATGATCACGCACGTCTTCCCTGCAGGAACGCAACTGCGATTGTGGCCATCTCCCCACTGGGAGGGGGGGAGATGGCCGCGATCGTGCTGGTTGGCGGGGGGAGATGGCCGCAATCGTGCTGGTTGCGGGTGGGGGAGGGAGATGACAGAGATTGTTCCCATCTTTCCTGCAGGAGTACACCTGTGCCAGGATTTCTTTGAGAAGCACCATCCCAACATAACTGTAACGAACAGAGTGTTGAATCTGATGAACAATAACATGGTCTCTCATTTCTGGAGGGTTATGCAGCTCAGGAAAAAACAAGTGACTATAGACAGATTTTTCACTGAAATTGACCCTGCAGCTAAGAGGAAAAGAAGAGAGGAAACCCCTGAAAGAGAGCTCCCCAATGTCCTTATGGTGGGGCACTCTCCCTCAATAGAATAACTTCCTCCCCACCTAGGTTAGTGTTCTCCACTGTACTGTACAGTACTTTGTTCCTTTGTTGTTCTTTGTCACTTTGTTTCAAATTTTTCTGATTTAAAAAAAAAGTTACAGAACGGATTAACCTTATTTACATTGAACGTTATGGGGAAATTTGACTTGATTCGTGATCAAAAATTGGCTCACAACCTCATTCGGAGGAGCCAGAACCGATTAACCTTATTTACATTGAATCTTATGGGGAAATTTGACTTGGGTCACAACCAGAATCATGGAACAGATTAAGTTTGTGAGCCAAGGTACTACTGCATTTGGCTGTACTTTCTCACTATTAAAATAGTAAATGTTTCCAAGCTCCCCAGTGAAGCCACCCATTACCAACTTTGTAATTTTTCTGGCTCCAGGTTAAGAATGCCATTTATGCCAAGGCTGTTTAAAGCCAATAGACTTGTGGGGCTTACATCTGCATATATTTAATGCATTTAAGTTCTTAAACAGTTTTTAAATTCTGTTTTAAATTTTGTACTGAATTATATGTTTTGTATGATTTCTGTATTAGGTTTTAATGCTTTTCTTACAAACAGTTAAGTGTCCAGAGAACTTCCACTACTAGATGGTATATAAATGAAATAAATAATAATAATTTACTTGAAACTTGACTGAAGTTTTCTTGGGAATACATGAACCCAGTATTCATTTGGGTTTGTAGGTAAATAATGTCTACATAAAGCTCGTGTTTTATTCTACCCCAAACTTGAAGGTTCTAATGGGCAACACAATGAAAAGGGAAAAAAAATCAAGATTTAAAATACCTTCATCTGTTTCATATTCTCCTTTGAAGGCCAGCTGAAATTAATAAGGCACATGGAATTTGTGGGCAATGTACTGCATTTCCACTGTGCAATAGCTGAAGTTCTTTAGCCAGTTAAAATAAATATGATAAAACAATGTTAAATGCAAAGAACTAAAAAAGCACCACTTTTTAAAAACAGTCTTTACCTAATACTGAAAGCCCCTCTGCACATGCACCAGTTAAGCCTCTCTGAGGAGGGCTTTTAGTCCTACAGCAGCACCACTAAACAATCCCTCTCACTTTGAGGGGCACCTCTGAAGATGATTTTTGGGTCTGGACAGATTTATAGGGGAGGAGACAATCCTTCAGGTAAACTGGTCCCAAGCCTTTAAGGGCTTTAAAGTTAATACTAGCATGTTGAATTAGGCCTGGAAATGAACTAGAAGCGAGTGCAGATCATTGAACGGTGCATACTTTTCTGTCCCAGTTAAGTCTGTTTTGGTCTAGCTGAATCTTCTGGACTTTGAAACACACCTGATATTTAACACATTACAACATTTCAAATGGGAGATTACAAGAGCATGGATAACTGTATCAAATCTATCTCTGTCCAGATAGAGTTGCAGTTAGTACATCAATCTAAGTTGATTAAAAAATGCTCTTAGCCACACATGCCCCATGTTTCTCCAGTTAAGTTGCTGAGCACAAATGCACTCACAAATGGAACCTGTGGGATGAAATCCTTTCCAGCACAGGTTGAATGCAACCTGACTAGGCAACCTTAGTTTATTGGCCTTCATTGCACTGATTAACACACTGGTTCAGAATGGCATTTATCTCATGTAGATTAGATGAAAAGGATGCCTCAGTCCATGTCTCCACATAACTTGTCCCAGCAATTTCATGTGGATATTAAATAGTAGACATACTTGGCAGATACAGATTATCTGGTCCATTTCATTCTCAGTTTAGACAGTTTTGGGTTAGAATCAGCTCTGATCAGTGACTGATGACTTCTTGTAGAAGAAAGACAGGAGTACACCTGTAATTTTGATACCATAGATCACTGTACTCGTGGATTATGTCTGCAAGTTTGGGGACACTATTTTACGATGGTTCTGCTCCTATTTACTGTTCCAAAAAATCACTTTTAGTGATTTTTCTTTGGTACCTTGGCAATCAGGCTTCAGGGTGAAGGAGAGTCCCATTTTTTCCCAGGTCTGTTTAACATCTACATGAAGCCATTGTGGGTGGTAATTAGGAGTTATAAGGTAGCATGTTGGAATACTGAAAACACCCAGCCCCATTCCTCTGAAATATCTGAATCCAGAGAGGCTGTATGTGTTCTAAGCTGGCTCCTGAACACCGTAATGAATCAGATGGAGCCCAATAATCTGAAACTAAACTGTGCCAAAAACAGTGACCCTATGGGTGAGTTGTTCCCAGGTTCAAAAATTAGGAGTTTGCCTGCTCTGTACCCTCAAAGAACAAGTACATAGTCTGGGAGCTGTTTTTTGTCTTTATGTTGCATTTATATCCTGCATTTTTTTTCTTATGAGGAACCCAAGCCAGTTTACATCAGTGGTCCACAACCTTCTGGGACATGAGGGCCAGATTAGGATGTCCAATGCATAAAGAGGGCCATATATTACAATGTAACAACATTATTAACCTATTGATTTAGATCAAAAGTAACCATTCAGAGGTCAATAAAGAAATGTTGACTTGAATGCAGTCCATTTTGGAAAATATTTTACTGTGGAATCCTTTTCTCTAGCTATATATGCTTAGTATGATTTTTGTGGCTGTTTTCTGTTAGCCAAGGCATTACTATCTAAGTCAAGGTTTGTGACAGACACCCTTAAAAGGTTATGCAAATAGTCATATGTAAGTTTTGACTTACACTTGGATTTCAGAATTTTTATCTTGGAAAAGGTTTTTTTATAGATATATGTGGTGCCAAAGACTGAGAACATGGCTGCAGCAAATTCCTTTAGGTTGATAAATATATCAGGTAGATCACAATAGAAATCTAATAGACCATTTTCATTGTAAATGTTTCTAAGATGATCACTGATTTGCAAATCAATTCATCCTTTCTGAAAAAAATTATTTGCATTTTCTGGTGCTACTTCAAATGATTTCTGAAACATTCTTATTTCCTTTCCATGCTTATGGCAATCAGTGAATTTGTTCTAGAATTCCACCTGCAATAGGTTCTGTGCTTTGATGTGTCTTTCAACATTGGATTGTACATTCCCGTCCTTCTCAAATTTTATTCACTGCAGCATGAGATGTCTGAAATATTACTTTCATTAACTTGCTTCACAAAAATGTTTAGTTTAGCTTCAGAAGCTTTCAGTTCAGAGTACATTTCTCACACATGTCCTTTTCCCTGCAACCTTCGTTTCAATTTGCTCAGATGCTCTGTGATACTAGTTAAGAAAGCCAAATCAAAAATCCATCCAGGCAAGGATTACCTTTGTACTTTCCTAGTCTACCAAAACAGTTATACAGTTGATTTTAGCCACCTTGGTGTTTTACCTTTGTTCATGAGAGAGAACCTGAGGCACTGCCAGGTTGGCTTATACTTTGATGAAGGCTCTTTCTTCCCTGCCCCTGAACTTCCTCTGTCTCTCATGCACTCTTGCTTAAAAGTTGCACTTAAAACTTAGGATGCACAACCAGTGTAAGAAAAAATGCTGTCTGTAAGGGTAGAGGAAGTCCACTAGAAATGTGGGGCCCTGGTTCTAACTTGGAGCTTAAGCTCTGAATTTCCCTATGGCCATCTGGACAGTATCTCAGAGCCATGGGATTAAGCCTTTAAATCAATTTTGTATGAACCCAGTGTTTTCCAAACCGCTGGAGTGTTTTCCAAACCACTCTGCAACCCATGGCTTGCTCTAGGCATCCAGGGTGGTTTGGAAACCTCCCCACTGCTCATCCTTGCCAGGTTTGCAT